GGGATTTTGGATTTGTTTACAGGGCCGCTCATCATCTCAATTGCAGTTGGCTTTGATTGTTCAGTTCTTTTAAAAGGGAAAGAAAAGAAAAAGACGAGCAGGCTGCTTTTAATTGTTTATTTGGAAAGATTTAACAGTGGCGATCAAACTGTTCTCAAGGTGGATTGTGATCAAACAATAACCTCTACTGCTTTATATGAATAGTTCACCTACGGAACTCACTGCCACTGGAGGCAGTGATGCCCACCCGCTTGGATGGCTTTAAGAGAGGATGATGCAAAGTCGTGGAGGATAAAGCTATCACTGGCTACTAGTTGTGATGGCTATGCTTTGCCTCCATGGTCAGAGGCAGCAATACTTCTGGGTACCAACTGATGGAAATTAAGGAAAAGGAGTGCAGCCTAGTGCTCAAATCCTGCTTGCTGGTTTCCCACAGGCATTTGGTCGGCCACTGGGAGAACAGGATACTGGACTAGGTGAGCCACTGGCCTGGTGCAGCAGGCTCTTACATGAAAACCCCAAACCCGCACGACTCAGGTACCCCAAGTGCAGAGACTGACGCAAGAGGCCAGAGAGCGATTCCTTCCTGCTCCGCAGAAAGTGAAGCCAAGTGTTGTTCCCTGACACACAAACACCCAAGTGGTGAAAGCAAGCTCCCTGCTGCTGCTCCTTCTGTGGCCAATGGAATTGGGCCCAGCTGGTCTTCTCCTTGCCATGTTCTTCCAAAGGCACAGGGAGAACAGCCGCCTTAGCCTCTTAAACTGGATGGGGCCAGAGCGTGCAACACCACATCAGCTCTGCAATCCCGGAGCAATTGGAGCTGAGTTTTCTCTCTTGCAAGAAAGGTGGAGAGGGAAGCGCCTTGCTGCTGTTCTTTCTCTGGCTGGTGACTGTGGCCAAGCTAATCTTCCTCCTGCTGCGATGTTCTTTCCTAGTAAATCTCTCAGCACCTTTTGCTGCAGCAGCTAATGAATGGGGATAGGAGCCTGTTTCCTTTCTGCTCTGAATATCCAGGTCAACTGATTGCATTTTTATTTAAAATACTTTCATCTTGGCCTTTTTCTGTTTCGTGCAAATGTGCCTTCTCTGAACCGTGTGTAAACAAAGCACTGTAACCCCCAGCTTTTGCCAATCAGATGAACTATAGAAATCCTGAAATCCAGAACAGACAGGACAAAGATTGCATTGGCTCTACAATCTGAAGCAGATCGGGCGATTTATGCCTCCACAAACATCCAAAATAAAAACAAATGTTTGTGATGGCGTGGAGAAAACCAGCCCCGTCTGTGTGCAGAACTGCAACATGTGAACATTTGGTATGGAGTCCACAGATCATGGCAGAGTTTTGCAAGAGAAAGCCTGCAGTTCAAAACATGTTTTGAACTCTGGTCCCGTTTGCTGGCTTCCCAGAGGCATCTATCTGGTGGTGGACCATAGTGAGAACAGGATACTGGACCAGATGGGCCATTAGCCTGATCCAGCCGGGCTCTCCTTATGTTTTTAGGTTGGCAAAGGTTGATTTACACGTACAAGTTATTTCTTATTAAGCCAGTGAAACCTATGAGGGTTTTGGACTGTCCACTTCACTGCAGCACAAAACCCGGAGCCTGGTAGCCGCTAAGAGATGTCGTATTTATTTAACGAAATATAGTAGGGACGCGGGTGGCGCTGTGGGTTAAACCACAGAGCCTAGGACTTGCCGATCAGAAGGTCGGCGGTTCGAATCCCCGCGACGGGGTGAGCTCCCGTTGCTCGGTCCCTGGCTCCTGTCAACCTAGCAGTTCAAAAGCATGAAGTGCAAGTAGATAAATAGGTACCGCTCGGGCGGGAAGGTAAACGGCGTTTCCGTGCGCTGCTCTGGTTCGCCAGAAGTGGCTTAGTCGTGCTGGCCACATGACCCGGAAGCTGTACGCCGGCTCCCTCGGCCAATAAAGCGACATGAGCGCCGCAACCCCAGAGTCGGCCACGACTGGACCTAATATACTGCTTAACTGTACTATATCCAAAATATATTTTAAATTACCGTATTTTTCGCCCTATAGGACGCACTTTTTCCCCTCCAAAAATGAAGGGGAAATGTGTGTGCGTCCTATGGGGCGAATGCAGGCTTTCGCTGAAGGCTGGAGAGCGAGAGGGTCGGTGCGCACCGACCCTCTCGCTCTCCAGGCTTCAGGAAGCTATCCGCAAGCCTTGGGAGCCCACGGGAGTTCCCGCCGGCCCCACGGCTGCGGAGGCTGCCTGCACCCGAGCCCTGGCGCGCTGAGCAGTCGCGCCCGGGCTTTGGGTAGCTCTGTGCAAGCCGCGGGAGGGCTCCCACGGCTTGCGGAGAGCAGCCTGTTCTGGGGGCTGGGGTCGGGGGAAGCCCGACCAGCCCCCGCGCCTGGGGGGGAATAAATTTTTCTTTATTTCGCCCCCGAAAAAACTAGGTGCGCCCTATGGGCCGGTGCACCCTATGGGGCGAAAAATACGGTAATAAACTAAAAAACCGATTCAAACATGTCAACATTCTACCTAGGTGTATCCCTCCCCCCCCCAAAAAAAAAAATCAGCAGCAGCAGCTGGAAAAGATATAGCAAAGAAACTTGTGTCAAGAAGCAGGGAGTTCCAAAGAGTAAAAGTGCCATCCCACTAAAATATTTTTATTATACTATGAATATTAATAAATAAAAATAAATTCATACCTGGCCCATCATGCTGGGTTTCCCCAGCCACTTTTACAGGTGAAGAACAGGTATTCTGTGGCACCTGTAACAATGCCAGTTCTACATGTAACCAACTCTATTTAGTCAAGCTATACTCAAGAGTACACCCACCAAAATGAATTGCTCCAAGTCATCTCAATGGGTCTACTCTGAATAGCTTTAAAAAGAAATACAACCCTCTGTTTTCAGTCATAATTGTTCCCTGCCCCCACATAACCGGAATACAATTTCAGGGTTATGTGATATTCCTTATCCACTAAATATCTCCAGTTTTATCTAAGATATCTTTGCCAGGCTTTTAATGGATAATGTTATTGCAACCATCTCTTATTTCATTGCGGCTTTTACTTCTGTTTTCAGCTGGCGGTGCAAAAAAAATAAAATGTTCATCAATTTTTATGTCAATTGCTAGAGTCCACGTCTTTTGTTAAGGTGGCCACATTGAAGGCTTCATCTGAAAGGCAGTCTTTTTTAAATCTTCCTTCAAAATGAAATAAAAATTGTCCTTTAGAGAAAAGCAAGGCAGGCACTTATGTGCAACGATAAAAACCCAGAATGCAAATTATTCTGCAGCTAACTAACTAGTTCACAAGGGCTTTAAACATTGTTCAATTTAATTGCATGGCTTTTCTGCCATCTGAAAACCAGTATCATCCTAGTGGTTTAAGACATTGTGTCTGAATAGCTTTATGCTCTTAGTTGGGGATAGGAACAACTTTGCTTGCAGCTACTGCCCTCTGCAGGAGAGGAAAAGGTACTGAGGGAACTCTCCATGGCAGCAAAATTGAACCATACAATCAAATCTTTAGGAAACACAGCAGAAAGATAGAAATACCCAGCTGGTAACAATTCTGCTTCCCTCCAGACATCGTTGGTTATATGGCACAGGTTTTTTTGGCAGTTGGGATGCAGGGAATCCAAGAATGTGCCTTCTGCTTTTTCAAACGCGTCCTAAGAGTAAGAATGAATAGTTAAGTTTTTCTAATCCCCCTTTGATCAGTTAATCACGGGCAAATCTTCAAACCCTATTAATCTTGCTGCTGCTCCTGTCTGGTGCATATACACTTTTTGTGTGTGTCCGGTGATGCAAATGCTAAGAGCTCAGCTGGATCGGGCCCAAAGGTAAAAGGTAAAGGACCCCTGGACAGTTAAGTCCAGTGAAAGGCGACTATGGGGTCGCAGCACTCATCTCGCTTTCAGGCCGAGGGAGCCGGCATTTGTCCACAGACAGTTTTCTGGGTCACGTGGCCAGCAGGACTAAACCACTTCTGGGACACCGTGATGGAAACCAGAATGCACGGAAACACCGTTTACCTTCCCGCTGCGGCAGTACCTATTTATCTACTTGCACAGGTGTGTGTTTTTTTGGTTGTTGTTTTTTTTTGCACTGGTGTGTTTGTTTTTGTTTTTATTTTGTTTTTTTATTTTGCACTGGCAGGCTTCTGAACTGCTAGGTTGGCAGGAGCTGGGACAGATCAACGGGAGCTCACCCCGTCGTAAGGATTCGAACCGTCAACCTTCTGATCGGCAAGCCCAAGAGGCTCAGTGTTTTAGACCACAGCGCCACCAAGGCTCACCTAGTCCAGCATCCCATCCTCACAGCAGCCAACCAGATGCCTGCAAGAAGCCTGCCAGGACACAAGTACAACAGCACTCTCCGCTCCTGCTGTTTCTGGCAACTGTTACTCAGAGGTACACTTCCTTTGACTGCGGAGGTTGTTGGCATCCATCTTGCCTCAAGAAATGGAGCGTGCCTCCAGGGGTAAAGCCAAACTGCTGCATTAGCAGTACCGAAGCCACCTCCCCAGGTACAAAGCTGGGCAGCATGTCTGGAGCTCCTGAGCTGCCCAGACAAGGGAAACCCCCCCCCCCCCAGCCTTGCTGATGTGATCCAAAGCAGAGCGATACATTTGGCACCAGCTTGACTGCAGGAGTTGCTGGGATGAAGGAATACAAGGCTCCGTCCATTTGTCTTAGGACTCCACTCTGGATGCGTGTAGGCTTTACTGCTTAGTCTTTTCTTCTCCAACAAGGCAGCATAGGTTGAGGATCAGTGTCCGTCTGTCCCCCACCCCCCAAAAAAAACCAGAGTCCTTTTCATTGGGGATAATTCAGATGGAAATTCCAAGATGTCGGAAAAGGTTATTTATGTATGCCACTACTGCGGCCCATGTTTTATTAGCCCCAAAATGGAAAAAGAGCGAAGCCCAGACTAAAGAAGATTGGCAATTTAAATCGATGGAATATGCGCAGCTTGCAGACTTAACATACAGAATAAGAGAAGAAGAACGTACGTTTAAAGAAGGCTGGAAAATGTTTATTGAATATATGGAGGAAAATTGTGTTTGTTTGAAAACGTGGGCAGCATTAAGATAAATTCAACAGTGTAATTAAGTTTTGATGGGTATAATAATGGAACACTGAATAGTTTGGTTTATATAAGATATGCAGGGGTTTATGTTGAGCAAAATGAACCATGGAAAGAGAGGAAGGGAAGTCATTGATATCTTAAGGTTGTTTAAGTGAATATTATAAACAAGCCTCATATTATTACTTGGTGTAATAATCTCACTGCTGCTTTAGCAGGCTTGGGAGAGGTCAGTGGCCTGATGGGAATGCAGGTTTTGCCATTGTGAATTTCATGATGGATGAAATGCAAGATAGATAAATAGATCACTGTTACTCAACAGCACCCACAGCAAGGTTTGCAGCGCCTCACTAGAATCCTGGATTTGCATTCAGTCAGAGACAGGGAGAGAAGGCAGGTTTTATAACGGTGGTTTTAAAGAAAAGCAGTGACGGACAGACACAGAGGAGCAGTGAGGATGGGGGGCCTTCAAGGAACCAGGCAGGGATGGGGTGTAAAGGGATGGGGTGGGGTTAAAGCAAGCAGGAGCAGGAACCCCTGGCAAATATGATCTTTAAAAACATCCCACAACCACAATGGGAACTCCAAAAAGTTAGGGAGGTCCTCTGCCTCCCTTTAGAGGAGAGAGAGGGGCACACACACACACAAACACAGAGACAGGGCCCTCTTTACAGAACACGATTTATTTGGCATTTGGATGAAATGTCTCTCACAGCATCTTGAGAAAAATAAAAGATTAGTGTCATCCCATCCCACCCTCTTTTTCTCCTAAAAAATAAAATAATAATAATAAATCAAAACATTAAAACTTAAAAAAAATGTCACAGGGACCGAACTATTACAGTATCAAATTTCTTTTCTACATAGTATTTTCATGGAATATCAAAATCTTTTTTTTTTTAACACGCACACGCACGCACACACAGCCACAGTGACATCCAATCACAAATCAACAACACGGGGTGGGGGAAGTCCTGCAGACACACAGCCTCGGCTAAAAGTGATTTTCTGAGAAGCTAATAAGCAAGTGTCTCATTTGTCGCCTTGTACGCATGTCCCAAGCAAACAGCAAGTCTAGCATCCAGCCGTCAGAAAAAGAAGCGTGACAATTAAGAGATTCGAACACAGAAAGCTGCCTTGCGCTGCGTCAAATCATTGGTCCGTCTGGCTCACAAATTGTCTACACTGGGGGAGGTGGAGAGGGAGAAGAGGACCTGAGGATCTCCAGATGTTCATGGAGCCCAACTCCTGTTGAGACCACAGGATTCCCACCTGCGGACTACACTGGCTGGCAGCTCTCTGGAGTCTCCTCTACAATGCAACCTGGAGCTATCAGGGGATGAGTCTAGGATCTTTCACAAGCAAACCTTGGTTCTACCCAGAGTTAGAGACCTCCCCCTTGGTGTTTCCCCATAATAAAAAGATGAGAGGGGCTGAAATTCAGCCAGTGCAAACTGGCTCTTCGTGCCTACGAGAAATCCCCTTAAAACTGGGGAACGGAATCCGCCTCTGAACACATCTGCTGCTGCTGGCTTGCCTTCATTTTTTCACGTTAGCTGGGGTTTAATTTGGCCAAGGGCACACAGTCTATTAAGTGCTCTTTCCTTCCTCTCTTCCCCATCTCCACAACCGCATGCCGCCCTGTTGAAATTGACACGGTGCGGCAAAGGTTTCTGGGAGGCTGCCTTCCCTGCTCGCTGTATTGGGAGCGGTATGTACAGAAACCCAACACAATCATCCCTTTCAAACACAAGACCCACATCTGGGGGTGGGAGGAGACATGAACTGGAAGTCAACCAAGCCTATGTCCAAACATGCAATGTTTGAAGAACGACATCTTGGTCCCCAGAACCGATGAGAAGTTTCTTCCCTCCAGTAGTAAGACTATTGTTCTGTGTACGTTGAATTGGGGGGGGGGGGACACACAAAAATACCTTCGTGCACAAACCGCACGCCCCACCCACCCGCCAAGAGAAAGGAAAAGAGGGTTTGCAAAGGGCAGCTTGTAAGCAGAGGGATGTGTCGTTTCAATAGCAAACAAAAAACAAAACCCCCAAAATAGACTTCGTTTTAATAAACTGAAATTCATAGCAGGGACCTATTTGTCTCAAATTGAGAGTTTGGCTTTTAAAAGGTTTGTTGTTGGTGTGCTTGTTTCTGATCTCCATCCTGCACCCCTCCCAAGCAATTGGTCAACATGGAACATGTGGCTACAAGATTAACCGCTAAAGACATTTATGCTCTGATATCCGAGTTAAAGATCAATAGCCTCAATCAGACATTTGTGGAAAGATATGCAGAACCTTTACTGCTGACATCGGCTTTTTTAAAAAAATGGGGCAAAACAGTATTAAAAATAGGCAGAGAAGAGAAAAGAAAAACAATTGGGCTATTTGCAAGATGCAGAAGCCTGCAGTACCGGGGGGGGGGGCATGTACCCCAACACAAGAACTACTGATGAGCATTGCAGATTGGTTCTGCAGTTTACTATGGCACCTGCATTAGGCCTTATAGAATTGCAGTTGGAAGGGACCCCAAGGGTCATCTAGTCCAACCCCCTGCAATGCAGGAATCACAGCTAAAGAATCCCTGACAGACAGCCATCCAACCTCTGCTTCGTCTCCCAAGGCAGTCTGTTCCACTGTCAGATCTCATCCTTAGAAAGTTCCTCCTAACGTTCCGCCGGAATCTCCTTTCCTGCCATTTGAATCCATCAGTTTGATTCTTCCTTTCCGGAGCAGCAGAAAAACAAGCCTGCTCCATCTTCCATGTGCCAGCCCTTCAGATATTTGAAGGTGGCTCTCATCTCACCCTCTCAGTCTTCTGCTCTCCAGGCTAGTCTTTCTGGCAACGCCCCGAGAAGCAACGCAGGAAGAAAATTAAAAGATCTCCACTGGCTAATAAAACAAATAAACACCGGCACTCGGGAAAGGGACAGAAGCCTTCAAAGGGACACTCTTAATAGCTTTGTGTACAGTGGTACCTCTGGATGCGAACGGGATCCGTTCCGGAGTCCCGTTCGCATCCTGAGCAGAATGTAACACGCGACTGCGCGTATGTGGGTCGCGTTTCACTGCTTCTGCGTGATGTCATTTTGAGCATCTGCGCATGCGCGAGCAGCAAAGCCCGGAAGTAACGCATTCCGTTACTTCCAGGTCGCCGTGGAGCATAACCTGAAAACGCTCAACCTGAAGCATATTTAACTTGAGGTATGACTGTACAGTATTACCTTCCACTGACCCGCTGCAAAGCATGGGCAGTTCCGAGCAATAACACACTGAGGACTGGCTGCATGTGGCGATCAATTCAAACGCTTGGGTTAACCCAGCTGAGCTCCGCTATTGAAGGACTACAGGGACTGGGCATCTTACTTCGCTCTTAGGCCCAGACCCACCTGCTGCAGAACGAATCCAAGGGCCAGTTCTGCAGCCTGGGGAGAACCGGTTCCTATCACATGCTGCTCTGCTTTGCTTAAGATCGCAAGCTGCAGTACACGCAGGTATACTCAGCACCCTGAACACTCACTCTCACACACGTACAAAACTCAAGAAGCCAGTACATACAATGTATAAAACTTATGAGTGTGCTAAAAATGCACAAAACCCGCTTTTATTTCTCATACTTCAGAAACGCTCAGCACCATCCAACTCAGAACACGTACCTGTGGCCACAGCAGTCCAGCTACACCCGGACTTGCAGCCAAGAGGCTGCAAGTCCTCTCAGTAAAGGAGGACTCCTTCTTGTCCTACACTACATCCTGGGTGGGTGGGTGCAAGAAATCCAGGAACCAGATTTTCCTCGGCTGCGAGGCAACTTCTGCAACCATTGGGAGGACATCACATTTGAATCCGTGCCTTGCAGTAGCCATCGGGTCTGGCTCGGCCACCACACAGAGCAGCCAGCGTAGGGAGGAGAGGGGGGACCCGTTCTGCCAACCTATCAATGCTTGTTACACAAAATCCTATTACAAGACGGGTTTCCTTGCAGTTTCACCCCCCGGGGGCAACTCCACAGAGCCTATCCAACGCCGCCAGAAGGGCTGTGTCTGCAACGCTCCTCGAGGAAAGGGGATCCTCTTATCAATGATTATCTAAAATGCTTGGACAGGATCGTGATTGCCACACTGCAAATTGTCTTCCATCGGCTTGTGCTGATTGTTTTCAGGGGCTCTTCGCAGCTGCCCTATACAGACTTGGGCAAATGGCTTGCCGAGTGGGTACCATCGGCTCCCGACGGGCAAGAAGCTCTCCAGGGATTCAGAGAGGGCTCCTTTTCCCCAGCCCTACCCAGAGATGTCGGGGATTGGGACCTTCTTCGCAATGAAGCCTATCCTCCTCCTTTAAACACAGCCCACGTGGTGGTTACTATCACAAATCCTAGTGTAGAAAAATAGAAAAGACCCCTGCAAAATATTGCATATGGAAATACACCCAATGCAATGCAGGGGGAATGGAAAGACACCCTGACAAGCTGGGGCCTGAACTAGCCTAGTCAGCAAGTGGGAAAGTAGCGCTCTCTCGCTCACGCGCGCTCTCTCTCGCTCACGCGCGCTCTCTCTCTCTCTCTCTCTCTCTCTCTCACACACACACACACACACCATGTTCCTTTCCTGTCCCTCTAGGCTTCCTGCCTTTCATAAGGTAAGAGGAACACATCAGTGAAAGATGGAGATTACCACCTCCTCGCCTGGCCAGCCTCTCCAAAAGGAAACTAGCCAGCGACGAGAGGCGTCCTCTCGGCTCAATTCAGAAACCTTCTCGCTATTTACAAGCTCTCTGGAACGAAGCGCACCTTGCCTTTCAAACTGGAGACAAAACTTCTCAGGGGAGAGTAACACCCCGAGCGTCATGACCTAAACTGTACAAAACGCATCTTCCGACTCGGGTTCGTTATGAATTCCAGCAACGTTCACTGGCGACGGCTTTTGTCAAGTGCCGGGGGCCAAGGGGGAAGGTGGGGAGGGGAAAAAGGAAAGAAGAAACCCAGCCACCTGCCTAGTGACTCTTTCAATCCCCATCCCACTTACGACAACAGTGGCTATTGGTTGGCCGCAATATTCACTGCTGTGCTAAACTCCACCCTCACCCAAAAAGCCTGCTATCGTTCTCTAGGGTTGCCTATTTTTTTAATGATACTTTAAGGCTTCAACTATCAACCCCCCCCCCCAGTGGTGTAAAATTAACATCGATCTAAGTAATTCTAATGAAAACCTAGAATTAAATTGGGGGGGGGGGGGCACAGAACCTGATGACACTGGACCAATTCATTGAAGCTTTATGGAGTTACCGACACTATTTCATCCCCCAAACCCAGAACCTCAAAAATGCCCAATGCCTGTTAGAAGCCATTGCATTGCAGGTCACAGAGTTTAAAAGAGCCGCTGTACAGGACTTGCAGTTTCGCAGAGAAGGAAGCAGGTTTTTGCAAACCGTCCCCCTTGCCCTCCCCCAAACATTTGCATCTCACTGCGCTACGTCGAGGAAACAGCCAAGTATCCATCAAACCCTTTTTTAAACCTCGCAGTCCCTCCTCCGTGGCAGTGTTGAAAGGAACATGACAATCAAAAGCTGCACGTCCAGGTCTACCTGCCTCTCTTTTCTTTGGCTCATGTTTCTATCTGCCAGGAGGACGGTAGGGTTGTGGTTCTGCCTTCTGTTCAAAGGGACACCCAACAAGCAGCACCAAAACCCAATCTTCTGGGCTCAAAGAGGAAAGGTTTGAGTTGCGGACGGGGAGCGTTTCAGGGCGACAAAAGAGATTCTCCAGCAGGCAGGCTCTCTGTAACCGCTTCCGAGTTTCCAAGCTCCTGTAGCCCCGTCCCCACAAAATTCAAGAAACGTCTCCATCCAATGTACAGCTCGCGGTTTCCTTTCCCGTGATTCACGAGGGAGGTGGAAAGAGGCCAGGCGACAAAAAGCTATCCGTGCTTTTTTCTTCCTCCTTGCGAACAAAGAGTCGGGATGCTGTTGTTCAAGAAAAATAAAAAAGAACATCCTCTGCATTCTTTCCATCATTAGTGAGAAAGGTGCAGCTTCCATAATCCTTTTTTTAAAAAACAAAAATAAAATAAAATTTAAAGAGGGCAACCCAACCAGGCTAGAAAATGACAGCAACAGCCAAGACGCATGATTTCCTAGAACATAAAAGTAGTGTCCTAAATAAGAGAAAAAGAAAGGAAGAGAAACAAGGAGCAGAGCTTATTTCTGAAGTTCGGTCCATTAGTGTCCGTCTACATCTGGTGTGCAAACAGTTGCTCAAAAATTTATTTCTGACCGGCAGTAAGATTTCTTTTTTTCAATCCCCTCCCGCCCCCCAATTTTTCCTTTATACAATGGTATTCAGAGAACAGTGACTGTGGAGGCTGCCTGAAAGTGTCTCTGCCGGCGGGCTTTCACTTAAGGGCGTGTCAGGAGGTACGAGGAGGGTGCTGCTGTCAACAGAGTCTTCCAGCTCTGCTGGAGAAGGACCGACTGAAGGAGGAAGAGATTCCTCTGTCAGCGGCGGAGATGCGTCGCCATTTCCGAGGGACAGCTGGTTGCTCTGGCCTGTCTGGGAATGGATTCCACCTGGAAAATGGAAAAGGCAAGGAGGAATCGACAAGTCAGAGGCAGCACTCTTGAGTACGTTTCCGAGCACAATTTGAAGTGTCGGAGCTGACCTTTGAAGCCCCAAACGGGCTCAGCCCAGTATACCTGAATCTCCACCCCCAACACTCAGCCCAGACACTGAGGTCCAGCTCCAAGGGCTTTCTGGCAGTTCCCTCCCTGTGAGAAGTGAGGGTACAGGGAACCAGGCAGAGGGCTTTCTCGGTAGTGGCGCCCGCCCTGTGGAACGCCCTCCCATCAGATGTCAAGGAGATAAGCAACTATATCATCTTTGAAAGACATCTGAAGTCAGCCATGAATAGGGAAGTTTTTAATGTTTTGTGTTTTATATATATACATCTGTATATGCTAGAAACCGCCCAGAGTGGCTGGGAGATGGGAGTGATACAAATATTACTACTACAGTGTTGCCCCGCAAGACGAATGCCTCGCAAGACGAAAAACTCGCTAGACGAAAGGGTTTTGCGTTTTTTGAGTCGTTCCGCAAGACGAATTTCCCTATGGGCTTGCTTTGCAAGACGAAACGTCTTGCGAGTTCTTGCGAGTTTGTTTCCTTTTTCTTAAAGCCGCTAAGCCGTTAATAGCCGCTAAGCTGCTAAGCCGTTAATAGCCGCTAAGCCGCTAATAGCCGTGCTTCGCAAGACGAAAAAACCGCAAGACGAAGAGACTCGCGGAACGGATTAATTTCGTCTTGCGAGGCACCACTGTACTACTACTACAGTGGTACCTCGGACTAAGAACTTAATTTGTTCCGGAGGTCTGTTCTTAACCTGAAACTGTTCTTGACCTGAAGCACCACTTTAGCTAATGAGGCCTCCTGCTGCTGCTGCTGCCGCATCGCCGGAGCACGATTTCTGTTCTCATCCTGAAGCAAAGTTCTTAACCCGAGGTACTATTTCTGGGTTAGCGGAGTCTGTAACCTGAAGCGTATGTAACCTGAAGCATAGGTAACCCGAGGTACCACTGTACTACTACTACTACTACTACTATTATTATTATTATTATTATTAGCAGCAGCAGCAGCAGCAGCAGCAACAGAGTCATCATCAGCTACTTGGACATGGCCACCACCAATTCTTTGGAGCAGAATTCCACTGGCCATGCTACCTGAAGCTGATGGGAACTGCAGTCCAAACCATTTGGAGAGTGCCATGTCCCTGGACTAAGCTGACCAACGGTGGTCCTCTGGGATTTCAGGAAATGCTCTCTTCCAGCCCCAACTTGGATATGCCATGAATTGAACCTGGCACCTTCTGAGTGCACAATGTGCTCTACTGGTATAGCATCCTGCAGGCCAACAATACTCAAAACAACATCCCAATGATGTACCTGGGGGAGAACAAAGAATGCTGTCTGGGTTAATGGAAGCTTCGTACGGCGGAGGTGGGTCATCGGGATGCTGGATATCTGGGTATTTGTACGCCGTGTAGGGAGGAGGAGGGTCGTGGAAATGAAACGCCCCACCTTCCCCGTCATCGGAAAGGTGGAGCGGCGTGAGTCCAGTCCCAAAGCCATCGGGGCCGTAATCGAAACCGGGCATCCTGCGACCCAAGTTGAAGTGGTGCACTATTGGAGGAGAGGGGAGTTAGGAGAAAAATACACACACAAAAAAACCCAAAATGCATTATTATTCCGCCACTACCTCTCGCCAAGTAGGTCATTCGTTCTGCAAAGGGTAAGCCTAACTTGAAACCCAAAAGCTCTGTGAACTGAAAGTGGAGACACTATTATATGTACTTTTGTTTGCTTGTTTTGAACACAAGGAAATTGTTAATAAAAACTAATTAAAGCAAGAAGCTTGGTCCTGTTAAGGATGAACAAAGCGTCACAGGGAGTTACCAATGATGAACTGACATGAGCCATTAAGAGACTCTGGGCCATATACATTGCTAGCCCTGACTCAGCGTAATAGATCCTTTGAATCTAATTGATCTAAGCCATGTCCATTAAGTTTGATGGGCCTAACTCTGAGTAAGGCTGCAAGTTCAGCAATATCTAGAGGGCCAGAAGGCTTCCACACCTGCACTGGGTCAAAGAGAGACATGTTTTCAAAAAACAGCAGCTGAAAGCTGCACGTAAGTGATTTATTATTATTATTAATTCAATTTCTTACCCACCCTTCACCATAAAGTCCAAGAATGAGTGAAAATATGGTCAGAAGAGTAGGCTGCGTCTAGCGTGCCTTCTCTAACTTTCTTGTTTTATCTTCAGATTTCTTATGGCAATAGTGGGAACCTCTGATATTGCTGGACTACTTACTAACACTGCCATGACACCCTAACCCTAACTGGCCAGGGTTAAAAAGGCGCATATTCAGCATATGACGGCAATGACGTAATGAAGGTGCCAGGAGCACCCTTGCTGCAAAGGAGAGTTCCGCAACTTGGGGGCTTCCAGATCAAGCAGAGCCAAGGGACTTACGGTTTGCTCCGATCAGAGACTCGATGCGCTCCCTGCGCCGCTGCCGTAGCCGATGGACCATGAAGAGGAGCAGGGACAAGATCAGGAAGGAGGAGATGCAGCTCACGATGAGGCGCATGCCGCTCGCCATGGAGTCGAACAAGCTGTTGCCGTCTGCATAGAGGAATCAAAAGTAGAGATCTCATTAAAAAGGTAAAGGGACTCCTGACTATTAGGTCCACTCGTGGCCGACTCTGGGGTTGCGGCGCTCATCTCGCTTTATTGGCCGAGGGAGCCGGCGTACAGCTTCCAGGTCATGTGGCCAGCATGACTAAGCCGCTTCTGGCGAACCAGAGCAGCGCACGGAAACGCCGTTTACCTTCCCACTGGAGCAGTACCTATTCATCTACTTGCACTTTGATGTGCTTTTGAACTGCTTGGTTGGCAGGAGCTGGGACCGAGCAACGGGAGCTCACCCCGTCGTGGGGATTCGAACCGCTGACCTTCTGATTGGCAAGTCCTAGGCTCTGTGGTTTAACCCACAGCGCCACCCGAGTCCCATTACATTACGTTACAGCAAAAAATCAGTGGTGTGCTGTTCATTTCCAACCAAGTTCTTTTCCGGCCATTCAACAGGAGGGGCCAACCAAAAAAGAACTTCCTGGTAAACTGTGGAAGAGGAAGGGGAGATAGAGCAAGAACGTGTCTAGGTGTCTGGTGGTGGAGCCTCAGCCTCCGAGCCAAACTTGGCCTGCCAGGCCTCGACAATCGGTCCATGCGGCTGTTTTTCTGAAACCTCACCCACCTGAGGTCGTATGTGCCATCTGATGTGGGGCAGGCAAGAGAGGGGGACGCAGAAAACAGAACTGGGCTCCCCGCACAACTTTCTGCTGGACATCCTCTATCCCAACAGGCAACGTTGACAGGACAACCCCACCTGTCAATCGCCTGATGACACAATGACGGGTGATTGACAGGTGGGTGGGGTGGGAACTGTAAAAGTTGGCCTGGTGGGCTGGGGGAACATGAAGATCTGGTCCGCTGAGTCAAACAAGTTCTTCACACAATTCTCGGTAGCCTGGACCTGCAGGCTGCTTCAAATGGAGACTCCTCAAAATGGCATTAATCCTCTTCCAAAAATATCTTTCAGTGCCCCCACTATGCTTTTAAAGCACCTCTCAAATTTAGGGTGCAGATGCAGAACTGAGTCCTCTCCGTGCATTAGAAATCTGGAAAGGAGTGCTGAGATGCATGCTGGTTTTCCTAATGGAAGTTATGCTCTGGGGGAATCAAACCTCTTGACTTGAGAGCCAGTGGGGTGTAGTGGTTAAGAGCGGTAGTCTCGTAATCTGGGGAACTGGGTTCGATTCCTCGCTCCTCCACATGCAGCTGCTGGGTGACCTTGGGCCAGCCACACTTCTCTGAAGTCTCTCAGCCTCACAGAGTGTTTGTTGTGGGGGAGGAAGGGAAAGGAGAATGTTAGCCGCTTTGAGACTCCTTAAAGGGAGTGAAAGGCGGGATATCAAATCCAAACTCTTCTTCTTCTTCTTCAGAGTTCAAATCCCCACTCAGCCATGAAACTCACTGGGTGACCTCGGCCCCATCACTGCCTCTCAGCTTAACCTACCTCACAGGGTTGCTGTACGGGGATTAAATGAGGAGCGTGAGGACCACGTATACATCACGGATGGTGGGACATAAATGCTATGCGATAAGTAAGCCAAGAATAGATGTGTAGCTTAAACGACTGTGATTCATCAAAATTAATAATCCACGTGAGAAAACACTTCCCAATAACTGCATCAGCTGAGAAGCCTCTGAGAAATGCACTGTCAGCTAAAAACTACTTTCCTTTTCATATTGCTCCCACTGCAAAACAAAATTAGCTAGTCACTAATCTGTTTTCCAATACAAGCAAATCCACTTAGATACAAAGCATTTGGAAAGCAAAAATGCAAGAAGTGTTAAGATCCTAAGTTTGCAACAAGACAAGGGGGAACAATTGTGAAACCACCAGGTGCCCATAAATTGGATTGGCATATGGCCTGTTATTCTAGCATTACTGCTTCTTGTCATGAAACATACTGTAACCTGATTCAAGAGCCTCTCTTCTGAAGCTAATCAAGAAACAGGAAGAGTATGTTGTGCCTCATAACAAGGGGTGATGGAAAAATTAATTGAAAAGCTTAATATAAATGTTTTTGTTTCCAAATCCAACCAATTTACTAAAAGCAAACTCATTTTCTGAGTTTAGATCCTTATAAAGCCCAAACAGCTCCACACATGTGCAGCAGTTTTAGACAAGCCTTCACAATGTGAATTTCTCTTTTGAAACAAGCAGCACCTGATGTTTTATATATGCTTTTAATTATGTTTTATAGATGCTTGCAGACTAGCTTTACTATATTTTCCATACTGTAAGCTGCCTCAATATACTTTATTCAAGTGCAGATTAAAAATATTTAATTGAATAAATGACAGGGGTGATGTGCATCAGCAGTCTCCAGGGAACCACATTTGCAAAAGCACCAGGGTAGGGTGGGGAGACTTCAGCATCCTCAGTGAGAATAGAATATAGACCAATTGTTAACAGGAAACCAGGAGGAAGAGGGAATGAAATGGAGCACTCTGGGAAAGAGTGTGGCTGGCTGAAAAAGGAGTACAAACAGCAAACAACAGTTTCAGGTCTAGTTCCACTGGTCTAAGTCATCCCTACTGCCCGGTTATCACCCTACTGTTCAGACAGACAGCATCTGGGACTTTTCACAAACTGTAGGGGCAGGGGGGTTGCCCACAAAGAAAGTTTCAACTCAGGCAGGTGTGGGGGAACCTTTGGCCCTCCAGATGCTGTTGAACTACAACCTCCAGCACCCCTAGCCATTGGCCATGCTTGCTGGAGCTGATGACAGCTGCAGTTCGACAGCATCCGGAACAGCCAAAGACTCCCGCACACCTGAACTAAGCAATGAAAGAACCGGGCATCTGGTCCCCTCACAGACACAATAATGCAACAATGCATAATACTGCTCACTTTTCTGGCCACCTTGGCTGAAAAGTAACCTGCCACAAGTGTTAAGCATAAGGACAGGAACTTTAGAAATAGCTGAGAACACCCTGCCACGTGCGTTCCAAGAATCCAAATATATTTCACAACAGCCAAGAGCCGATTCATTTCCCAGGCAATGCCAAACTGTAGAAGTCCAAATAGGTTCATGCCACCGGGGTTTGGGAGAGGGGCATCTCTCCAGTTTGGTCAAAAACTATTCCCTCTTTGGCTGAGGGTGGGGGGAAATAGGCAAGGAAATTTCAAGCAACCAAGTGTTTCCGTCAATTTCAAGGAAACAAGACCAAACAGCAGCAGCACCATCTGCTGGCTACTTGCGGGACTGGCGGGCATTTCAAGTAACGATGGCATCACATATAACAGAAAAGTGAACAGTGGGTGGTGGTAGTGGTGGTTTTTGCAATGCATGAGAGGTACCCACACCTGGATGCCCAAGGTAAATATGTTTCCACCACACCTCCCTGGCTTAACCCAATTCAGCAGGCTCCTTAGAACATTTGCGACCTTCCAGTGATTTGAGACCTTCCAGTGATGCAAATATCCTTCTGTTTCCTTAAAAGAAACAAGGTTGACTCAGACTGGTCTAAGTCCTTGGTTATAATGCAGCAGCTCTTAAACAAAGAGTAGGAAACTAGATCCGATTGGTGAGTGAGATCCTTAGCTTTTCATATCCCTCACTGGGCCAAGTTTGTCAGGTAAGCAAGTTTGCCTGCCTGCCAGTCAGGTCACAATCATGTCAGGTGACCGCAGTGTCTGAAATCAAAATGTGCAGCCAAAAGAATAACATTGTGCAAGCTCTGCTGATCAGCTGATTGCCAGGACTTACAAAATGCTGTACGGCGACTTTTGCAGGTGCAGCCAATCCGCTGACTGGCGGGGCCTGCAAATGCCCTTTTGGCCCAATCACCTTTCTACCTGCCCACACTCAGCAGTGCAGTGCAGGTGGGCATGACTTGGCCAAAATGGCCTGGTGGGCCAAAGAAGGGAGGTTGGAGGACCTAGTGAGGCCTGCAAGCTGAAGGCTCCCCAACTTGGTCTTAAAACTACAAGGCTGATCTGCCAGGGATGGGAGGGCATCACAATGTTTGTGGGCAGACCAAGATCCTGAGGCAGCAGGAGTTTTCATCTGCCAGAACCAGGGTCAATGGAATGAACTATCTCATTAACAGGGAATCGTGGCTGATCCACATGGGATTCGTTATGTTGTTATAATGATCATCGGCTGGATGCGATTTTAAGAAGAGGTCAAGTATCCCCATCACTCCCACTCTAGTAGCAACTCGCAAGAGGTGAGTGGCAACAGGATTTCAGCCAGAAGAGAGCAACCAAGAAATAAGAGGGAGGGATCAGCATGCCTGGAGACCACTGAAGCACACATGTTCACTAGCCGCAGAATGTTGAGTATCATTTGGAAGACAAAAGGGGGAAGAGAGGTGGATTGGGAAACACGAGCTTCTTACAGCTGATATCCTGAAGGATTGCACAGCTGGCAGGCAGGTACCTCAAACTGGAGCACTCCTTCCCAATTGGTGAGGCTACACTGCAACATTTTGTTGCAGAACTGGCCTCTCCTCCCTGCCCACTTTCCGATATCAATGTTGGGCAGGTACCCTAATTCACAAATACTTGCATGCAAGGCAGTGCTGAATGCCCCTTAGGCAAGGGGACAGCTAACGATTGTATTTCTGGTCCTGGCTTCTTGTCAGACCACAGCTTTTCAGACTTGATGCAAGGGGAAACTGCGGTTTGATAAACCGCAGAAGATTCAAGTTACAGTGGGCAAGGGGAGGGAAAAGGGGAGGAGGCATGAAGCGGCAAGGTTAAATCAAGGCTAGCTCACTTGTTGCATTTGAACAGAGGCAATCTGAAATTTGCAGCGGAGCTGGAAGAAGCATGTATGGCTACTAACACATTAAGGGTCTTTTTCTGCCCCAACACTTATCCATTCAGAAAAAAAGGATTCCAGGTAGGAACATAAGTAGAGCCTGCTGGAAGCCCCAAATGGAAGCATATAGGGAGGATGCGAGGGCAGCAGCCCTCTCCACTCTTGCTGTTTCCAAAAGCTGGCATTCGAACTGTCTCTGTCTGTAGAGGTAGCAACTTATCTTTGTTGCAGAAATCAAACCACAGGACAATGTTTGTTTTATGCCTGATGCTTCTCTTTATTCCAGGTATCTGGGAGAGGCCTCTGACACGGGTGCCAGAGAGTCCTCAGAAGATGGTACAAAGCGTGTATTTATAAAGGAATCATCGTGCAAAGTACAGAGGCTAACTTCCTTCAAAGATAGTGGAATATTACAAAAAGCTCAAAGCAGGATTTCAACACATTACTGAAATAGCTGGTCAACCATTTAGATTCAGCTTACGTAGCAGGTGTTTTGCTTCACTGACACAGTCCGAGGGTCCACATGTTATAACATTTTTGCACAGCTTTCATTGGCACCCAGAGCCAATGATACATATGGTGGCAGCCACAATAATATAAAGTATATTTGATCCCCAATCTTCCAGCCATGACCAGAGGTTCCACTGATCCCTCTCATGCAGCTTGGCCATTATTATTATTATTATTATTATTATTATTATTATTATTATCATCTCTGCCTGATAAATTGTTTTATCAGTGTCATCAGGGATGTAGATACGACGTTCAGCTCCTGCCAGAGCACATGCTTCTCCCTGACCGGCAAGCAAAACATCCAGACCATTCTATTTTGCAATGTTGCCTGTCTTATACTAGGCAATTCCACAGCAGTGTCTTCCAGTGCTTGCACAGCACTATTTGCAATCTTTCCATCACGGCGTTCATTTTTTAAAATTTGCCTTAGAAACAATTGCCACACCAAACTGAGGTACGGTTATGTCCCAAGACTTTTGGGACTCTGAAGGTTCTCTGGTGTTCCTAATTTTACCAGAAGGGAACTGGGATATACGGTATTTTCCCGTGTATAAGACTATATCCCCCCCCCCATTTTTTTAAGTTTAAAATTGGAGGTCGACTTATACACAGAATGTTGCAATTACTTATTTCTTAATTTTGGGCTCAAAAAATAGGGGTCATCTTATACATGGGAGCGTCTTATACGCAGAAAAATACGGCAATTCTAACAGCAGGAGCAACTGTTCTTATTTAGCAAGAACCATGTTAATTAGGTGGGAGTTTTACTAGCACATTTTCCACAGATAAAATATTGATCCATGAGAGCTAGAGCAAAGTGAACATAGCAGGAGCTCTACCTTCTCCACATAATTTTTGAGAAATTCCTTAAAGACAGTCCATTCCTTACTAACTTTCTGAAAGTATTCCCTCTAACTCTCCCTGTTAATTTAGCAATAAATATTCAATCATCTTAGCTAGCCAGTCTGTTTTGGTGGGGACATTATTACTTTCCCAGTTCTTGGAATCTTTGTTTTTATGGTTTGCGTTGGATATACGATTGTAAAACTTCAATCTGAAAAAACCAAATAAATAAACTTTTTTAAAAAGAAGCACCTCTTACCAGGATCTAAACAGGTAAACTTGCAGCACTCCTTGGGGTCCTTCCGATACTGCTGGCAGCCCTGAGGCCGCTCACATAGGGCCGCCACGCACATCTCTGGCTCGCCGTTGTGGCACGTGCAACTCAGACAGGGGTCATCTCCTTTCGGGGTGAAATAGTAGCCTTCATCGACAATGTTGTCTTTTATATCTACACAGGTCTGGCCTGAAACAGGAGAGGCGCACACATGTTAGCTCCCACCTTCCCTCACTGATGGACAATAAGATGCACCTCGCTTTCCTGAACAGAGGACAGAGCAGTGTGGGTCTGCGCAGAAGCTAGCCTACTGTATAAAGGATTATATTTGCATGCCATCTTCGGCTAATTTTTGCCTTGGGCCCTGCCCACAACTGGAACATCCCCTCCACCAACCCTACCAGAAGGCTGCCCAGGAAGAAATACTGAGCTGAAAAAGGTTGCCCGCCCTGACAAAAATCTTTAAAAGCAAAGAAACAGGTGTGAGGCTTTTAATACCAATCAGCGTACATAAAAATCAATGGTGTTTTAAAAAAACATACAAAAAATCTTTTTTTATTTAAATCTGATTTTTATTATTTAAATTGAATTTTTAATATAAAATGCTTTTGGAGGAAAAATCTTTCTAAAGATACGTTTTCTATTTAAGTTACACTATAGGCTATTCATTAGGAAATAAGGATTTGTTTCAAGTTTTTCATGTGTGCTAAAGCTCAGTCTGGTTTTTTTTATAAAAAAAACTGTTTAACCACATCAGTTAACAAACGTGGATACGTGTGCTATAATGTTATTGTTTTAGTTAAATAAATTGTTCACACTGTGATTATGGAAATGTTTATTTTTCTCTTTCCAATAAAGTACAGCAGAAAAGTTGTCTAAATATAAACAGTTAACTTATTAAACCTCACAATAATTTCATAATTATCTGTCTATGTATTTCGAATAGTATAAACAAATCAGTGATTTTTGATATAACCGTAAAAACTACTCCGAAAACTTATTATTCCAAAAGTGAAACCTTCATCTTGTTGTAAATATTAAGAGTATACCAGCAAGAATGAGTCCCTCTGTAAAAAAATCAACTCTTACTGACTAGTGATTTAAAATAAATTTGATTTAAGTAAAATCCACCCGGATACCAATTGCTTTTCCAAGCACTTCAGCCGCAGCCTTTTGTAAAGTGGGGGAAATGCAGTTCTCGCCCCTGCCGTTGCAACTACCACAACAGCTCCTACCGTGCCAAATGCCATTGCAGAACAGTGGTAAGAAATACAGCTGTGGTCCAAAGAGCAGAGCGACCTAATCCTGGTCCGTACCACAATACAGTTCACTCGGTGGCCTCGGCCACTCTGTCCCCTGCTGCAGTGCAAGTGAGCATCCCTGCAGCTCTTTGGAGTATTTAACTGTTCCTGCGTGCTTATAAGAGCTTGTGTGTAACCCAGAACGGATGACTCACTTCTTTTGCAGAGGAATGAAGACTTCTCATAGCAGTTTTCAGCATACCAGCTGTGAAAACCGCGGTGCCGCAGGGTCGGGAAGTGGGAACATTGGAACTGGGCGCAAAGGATGTTTTCGTTTTCCGACACGGACGTACTGAAGGTAGGGTTAGGGGGCAAAAATACTTCCGATGAACCTGAAATGACAAAATGCATCATAATTTAAGAAAGTTGTTGCTGCAGAGCCTGTGGACAAATTCGGCTTTGCTGCCTCTTAAAACATTTTAAAGGAGAAAGTCATACCAATGCTTTACTCTGTATGCTTGGGTAGCTTGCTACGTTATCAGAAGGCTGATTTCAGGCTATTGTAGCTATATCTCTATTTCAGAGAAATTCATGGGCCTAATGTTAAAAAAGGTGTTGCAAACATTGACTTTATTCTCAGAAGTGTACAAAACCAGGCTCCTGCACACGAGTCCTTGCTCTTTAAATTCAAACAGCATACACCTTTTTTAAAAAATTGCATTTCTTTCCAAAGAAGGCCAAAGCAGGTTAAGGAAGGTATAAATCCAGTGGATTAGCACACAAAGAGGGACATAAACAATGGTACCTCGGTTTAAGAACAGCCCTGTTTATGAACGATTCAGTTTACAAACTCCACAAAACCGGAAATAGTGTCCCGGTTTGCGAACTTTACCTCGGTCTAAGAACGGAATCCGAACGGTAGAAGGGCACCAGCAACGGGAGGCCTCATTAGGGAAAGCACGCCTCGGTTTAAGAACAGTTTCGGTTTAAGAACGGACTTCCGGAACCGATTATGTTTGTAAACCGAGGTACCACTGTATATGCACCCTTGTGATATTCCACTGGTTAGTGGAGTCAGTTTCATTCTAGCGGACTTCTGCCTTGCAGGGCAGTTAACGGTTTTCTTTAAAAAATGGCATTTTATTTCCTGTATCCATCTCTGCTGTATTTGTATCAAGCATTGTTTTAGGATGATATTGTGTTTTCAAAACTGTCAGAAGGCACCCCGAGTAACACTTAAATGGGAATGCAGAAACTCTTGTATAAATAAAATAATTTGGCTGAATACTGTGCAACCTCCAAGACTTCGTTTACAAAGCTGGAGTACAGGAATGGGAACCTTTAAAGAAGGATATACACTGATACAGAATTGTAGTTGGAAGGGGCCCCAAGGGTCATCTAGTCCAGCCCCCCCCCAAAAAATGCAGGAACTACAGCTAAAGAATCCCTGACAGATGGTTGTCTGTTTAAAAACCTCCAATGAAGGTGAGTCCTTCACCTCCCAAGGGAGTCCATCCACTATCAAACAGCTCTTCCCATCAGAAAAGTATTCCTAATGTTTAGTGAGAATCTCCTTTCCTGTAGTTTGAATCCATCGGTTCAGATTCCTAAACGCCGAAACTTCTGACCAGTAGAAGTTTTGATTTGTCATGTGTTAGGACAGGTGAGAATTTTCTTTCACGCAAAATAAGTTCCTCATTCAAACATGCCACATAATTGTCAACTGTTGAGCTATCCCTTCTGCTTTTTCCTCCTTTTATAAATTAGCAGTTAAACAACAAATCAAAAGCCAATTGCTTTCAGCAATTCTGCCGCCAGATGGCAGTATTATTGCTAGCTTTGGGAGGAAAGCAGGATTGCCCAAAAAAAACCCATTATGCCAGCCTTTGAGTTAAACAAAGGCATTAAACACTTGATCAGATTTCCTTATCACTGTGTTGACGCTTAGACCACCAACCACACTAAAATACAAAGTTGTATTAGGAGGACTGGGTGGTGCAGAAAGGTACTCAAGAACTGTGAAAACTTCTGTACGATGTGCTTAGCAGCAAAAATCCACCTGGTACCTGATAACTTTACAAGATCATGTAAAGACTTAGCTGTTTCCATTGGCCTTTTGTTAGAGGGAGAGGGTGTTGTTTTGCTACTAGTGTGCTGCCCAAACTTCCTATGGCGATTATGGGGATTGTTGTTTTGGATAGTGTGATTATTTATATTAAATGTGTTCTAAGTCATTTGGAGACCTTTGGGCAACAAGCAACTAACAAGCCATCATTAATAACATTAACAGCAGCAGCAACACAAATACATGCTTTAGATGGCATCAATTCTTAGCCAAGTGACACAAGAGCTCATCTCTCATTTCTTGGGTCTTACCTTTGTAAGCAACCTCCCAGTGACCTTCCAGAGAATGATTTCGGTTTGTGATGACATACTGGTATCCGACCCAGAACCTACAATCAGAAATGCGTAAGCTTTGTAAACTCAAGGGAAGAAAAAACAAATTATGCAAAAAAACAAAATCCTAAAAGGTAAGTTGAAAAGCTCCTAAGCATGGTTAATAAGCTTTTCTCTTTCCTGAGGTTTTCTATTTAGACAAGCTGAAAGCTGACTGTCGCTAACATAACAATCTTTGCAAAGGCTAAGGAACACCAGAGCCATGCTAATGTTGCTGTGAATCTCAGTTAAACCTTCAAATCCAGTATTTTGCAATGCAATCTCTTCAGATAATATCCATCACATGGAGTGGGAAGAGTGACTAAGGCCCCATTAGTGTTATGCATTTAAAGCAGTTATCACATTACTTATAACAGTCATGGCTTCCCCCAAAGAAACCTGGTGATTGTAGTATGTCCAGCCCCCTGCCATTCCCGCCCCCCACATTAACTCCCTAGAGCTTTCCCTTCCATGAAACTACTCAGCTCATTTTCCACCTTCCCAACCCTCCTCCTTCACAAAAATCCAGGATTCTGATTTGGTGCTACAAATCCTGCAATAGAAACTGCATGATGACAGCCTTACATTTTTATGTATATAGGAAGATCAAATATATATTGCAAACACACACACACACACACACACACACACGTTTGTTTGTTTGTTTTAAAGAATGCATTTAATTTAAATGGTACACCCATCCAATCCCCCACCCCCGGTCAATGAGCATTTAGATTTCTCGATACCTGCATTAAGACATGGATTCCATTCTAGTTTGGATCTTCACATAGCGTAATGTAACTTGTCCCATATTTATCCTTAACATATCCACCCATAATTGCCCATGTGTTGCCAGTGAGAATTCAGTTCTTCCGTGCATGCTCACTGACCTACTCTGGTCTTTCCTCCCAAAGGCTTTATCTTGCGAGTCCCATTCCTGCTGCAAGATAAACTTGAGCTCCTGGTCAGTTGTAAAAGTGGCCAGGGATCCATTCACCCTCTGACAGGTCTGGACGGCGTCCCAGTAGTTCTCACCACTTAAGTACACTCTGTAGCAGCTAGCCGTGCCCTCGTAGTGATGCCATTCTGACGGGCATTTCCCTAGGAAACATAAAGGAGAGAAGGGAAACAATCCCCCCCCAGTTAGGATCTCAACCTGATTCATCACTTCTGAAAACATTAGCATCAGCCCAGTCCTCACTGGGTGGAAAGCCCACGTGTCTAGGCAGGGCAGACTTCAGGCAGGGGCTCAGGTGGTTAACAATCTCTCCATACACAATTTTTCTCATGCAACTTATGTGTCTCCTGCCCTTGTACAGAACACTGGAATCCAGCCACACACAAAATTAGAGGCTTCGAAAAAGAAACACCCACATCTCCCCATGCAGGCAAGAAAGAGACATTGTGACAGTTCAAGAATACAATCCAGCCAGGGAATATGCCTGATTATCGTCTTCCAGAGCAACTACTCTACTCCCAACTTAAAAATGGTAAGCGTAATGTTGGTGGTCAACAAAAGAGGTTCAAAGCCTCTCTCAAGGCAAATCTAAAAAAATGTAGAACAAACACCGACAACTGGAAAACACTGGCCTGCGAGCGCTCCAATTGGAGAACAACTTTTACCAAAGGTGTCATGGATTTTGAAGACGCTCGAACTCAGCACGAAAGGGAGAAATGTACTAAGAGGAAGGAATGCGTGGAAAACCCTCACTATGATTAACTCCCACCCGGAAACCTATGTCCCCACTGTGGAAGGACGTGTGAATCCAGAATTGGCCTCCACAGTCGCTTACAGACTCACTGTTAAGACCATGTTCATGGAAGACAATCTTACTCGGCTACGAGGGATCGCCAAAGAGTACATAGGTGTTGTGGCCTGGGGAGAATCCCAAAAGCCAGAAAGAGCTGCCTGGCCCGAAGTTCCCCATTCCTATGTTATACTTTATTCTAAATGTTCAGAGAATCTTATCACAAAAACAGCTCAGACTAAATTGCCAAGGGACGTTAGGGAGCTTTAATATAAGATACTTTGCGTACACATGGAAGCACTTTAGGAAGCATGTGCCTGGACCTGCAGCCGGCAACTTAGGGAGAATTTCAACCCTGCTTCCAAGTCTGCAACTTACTGCTGAACCGCACTGGCTGTGCCACATTGACGGTGTGGAAGCGGGTCGTGTCCCCTCCTCTTCCGCGATTGTGCCTGGAATCCGCATAATCCTTCCCGTGGTAAGTGCGCTGGTCCCCAGTAAAATCTAAAAGTGAGACATGGCCCATTCTTAGTGACACTGTGTGAGAACCATTAGCTTTTTTCCCCCCCTTCATTCAGCTGCTGAAAGGAAAATATCGTCATAAATCCTTCCCAACATTCAAACAGGCAAAGACAGCTCCAAGTGGGCACAGGCAAATAGAAGATTCTTAGGCTACAGAGAACAGACCAACATTTCCCAAAAGAAAGCAGAAAAGAGTTAGGGCAGGTGTGGGGAACCCGTAATCCTCTGTTGTCCTCCCAACAGCCTTGCCACGACATAGATTGGCTACCTCATAATTTAGGCTACTGTAATGTACTTACTACGCATGAGGATATTCTTGTGCCTGGTTCAGAAGCTGCAGGTAGTGCAAAATGCAGCTGCAGGGGTGCTTTGTGGGACACCCAGGTTTACACATGTTACACTGGTGTTGAAAGATTTGTGCTGGTTCTCTTTTAGCTACCAGGCAAAATTCGAGGTTTTGTTGTCATCATTAAAGCTCTAACAAATTGGGACCTAGATACCCAGTGAATTGCTGGTACAAATCGAGTCAGTTTTCAGACCTCCCCAAAACACCCTGATGGTCATTACATGACCAGAGAATTGTCAGTTGATGCAGTTATAGAAGCTAAGCCCCAAATGGCACCTTAAATCTTGGTTACGGTCGCCACATAATGTCTATTCGCCAAAGGGTTGGACTAGGTGACTCTTTACATCCCTTCCTTTTTTTTTTATAGATATTTATTAAAGTTTTCACAATATTACATAATGAAAAAGAAAAAAGAAAAAATACAAAATAAAAAACAGTTAAAAACAATTCCATCTTTTCATCGCTTATCTTTCATTTGCTTGTTTCCCGGACCTCTTCATACCTCCCTTTTTTGTATTCCAGTTCAATTTATTAATTCAGCAATACCTTTCCCTCCTTATTTTATCCTGATCTTTATCTTAATATATTATAGCATTAAATTTTTACCTGTTAAAAATCCAATTTTTCATATTCTTTTATACCATTACAGCTAGAAACCACTTAACTTCAATCCAACATCATTCTAACATTCATTAATTTTGCAATATTTCTGTAAGTAGTCTTTAAATTTCTTCCAATCTTCTTCCACCGACTCTTCTCCCTGGTCTCGGATTCTACCAGTCATTTCCGCCAATTCCATGTAATCCATCATCTTCATCTGCCATTCTTCCAGAGTGGGTAGATCTTGTGTCTTCCAGTACTTTGCAATAAGTATTCTTGCTGCTGTTGTAGCATACATAAAGAAAGTTCTGACTCTTTACGTCCCTTCCAGTGCTACAAGTCTACAAGTCTATTATCTCAACTACACTGCTCGACCATAGCTTGCTCTTACAGCAATTTACTTCTCCCAGTGTGCAAAGAGAAACACGCAGAGTGGAAATGGAAATAGTATTCATTAAAGCAGAGGTATTTGAGCCGTGGTCATCAAACTGGCACCCAGTAAGCTCCACTGCAACGTGCTCTCTTAAGTAGTTCATTGGGCAGAGACATTGATGACCTTTCAAACCTTCATTAATGTGGGTCATGGATCATAACAATAAAGATCTGATCTGATTTACCCCTTGCTGCCATTTGCTGCCAGACTCTGCCAACCTAAAAGGGGTAGCCACACCCACTTGCAAGCAAATTAGCAAAGACACACGCATGATGAATTAAAAATGACATAGGGTTGTACCCAGTTAATCATACTGACGGACACAGGTGCAGGGACACAGGTGGCGCTGTGGTCTAAACCACCGAGACTCGGGCTTGCCACTGGCAAGGTTGGCAGTTCGAATCCACACAACGAGGTGAGCTCTTGTTGCTCTGTCCCAACTCCTACCAAACTAGCCGTTCGAAAGCATACCAGTTCAAGTAAATAGGTACTGGTGCGGAGGGAAGGTAAACAGTGTTTCCGTGCGCTCTGGCTTCCATCACAGTGTCCCGTTGTGCCTGAAGCAGTTATGCTGGCCACATGACCCGGAAAAGCTGTCTGTGGACAAACACTGGCCCCCACGGCCTGAAAGCAAGATGAGCACCGCACCCCAAAGTTGAATTTGACTGGACCTAGCCATCCAGAGGTCCTTTACCTTTACCATACTCAAAACAGACCCACTAAAAATAGCAGAGTTGACCAACCTATGTCCACTTCAGTGGCTCTACTCAAATTTAGTAGGATGCAATCCCTGTTTCTTTGAGCACAAAAAGCCTCCCAGGATTAACAGTTCAAAGACTCAACTGTAGTGTTGGAAGGGACAACGAGGGTCATCTAGTCAAACCCTCTGCGATAACAGAAATCTTTTGTGGAATGTCAGGCTCCAATCCCATGCTCTACTGACTGAGCCATCCCTAACAATTATTCAGTGTGTGTGTCCCCAAAATGGAAAGCATTAAACAGGGTGGTTAAAACATGGTTGTGCAGAGCTGTTTACATTCACTGTGTGGAATTACAACTCTGCTGTTCTCCTCTGAAAGTACTTTGGCCAGAAGGGAAAAGGGGATCACAGTTCGAAGAGTTCATGGAACAGTCAGCAAAAGCTGGAATCACAGCTCTTTGACCTCTTGCATGGACGCAAAATCTGCAAATGTTTTGTCAGCACTAGGACACAATCACTCACTTGGTGCACGGCCAGCTTACTTGCCCTTTGCCCCCTACAGCAGAAAAGAAATTGATAATAGGGCTGTCAGAAAAATGTGAAATTGCAAAAGAAGGGGTCATGGAGGGGCGCTTAAGACTGCCAGGAAAGTGAAAGACAACTCATCTATCTCTGCTTAAGTTTCCACGGAGAGACAACATCTTAAAGAGCTTCACTGGAGACCCAGTTCACTGTCCCTGCCTTCTGAAACAAAGCGAGTGGCTGCCAGGGACAGGACTTTCTCTCTAGGAAAGAGCCAAAGTGCCTTAAAACATTTACTGAAAACTAGTACACAGTAACTGCATAGGATTGTATTGTTTTTATTTGTATTAGTGCAGGGGTTGACAATTTTTTTAGCCGCGGGCCGGTCCACTGTCCCTCAGACCTTGTGGTGGTTCAGAGAAGCAGCACCGGGGGGGGGGGGCTGGAAGAGGCAAGGGGAGCAACTAGTCCTCCTCCCCAGCCCCCAGCCGCTGCACTTATCTTCCCAGGGGCTGCTGCCGCCACAACCGCTGCTGCTTCTTGTGGGTAGGCAGAGCGAGCGCGTCCAATCCGCTCTCTGGCCCACAGGAGCACCAGTGGTAGCAGCAGAGGGAAGATGAGCAGCACAAAAGGGCTGGCTCCGGAGAGGGGCTGCCTAAAATGGCACTCAGCCAGCTCAGCCCAGTCCCCTTCCTCCTCTAGGCAGGGCGGGGAGAAGCCAGGAGAAGGGAGGGAGGCGCCGCCGCGATGTGTGTGAGGGAGAAGGGGGAAATAGAATGGTGCAGGGGGGAAATGGCACAGCCCGAACGAACAGAATCCCCACGCCGATCCACGGGCCAGATCCTGAAGGCAATTGGGCCTGATCCGGCCCGTGAGCCTTGGTTTGCCGACCCCTGTATTAGTGCTGTAACATTTCCATCGTGGTGCTACTTTTTTAAAAAACAAACAAACAAACAGCCATTAAACCTCTGTAAAGTATTCGGAGCTACCAAGACTGAGTGTCCGGGGGGGAAAGCATTTGATTTGGCACCAAGTAAATAAATCAGGGATGGAAGAAAGAATTGCCATTTACTGTGTTCATAAAGTTAGATAAGAAACTTAAACAGCCACAGCAATGATACACAGTGCTCTAGGTTTTGGGACACTGATACTATCGCTGTTTGAACTGGTAAAATCTGCCGATTTTCAAACAAAACCCAGCGGGACATTATTTCATGTGACTAAGACTTAGAGCAAAAGAAAAGGAGCTGTGAATTCATGCTATACAAATCCTCCCAGTAATTTTGAGCACACAGGCAAGTTAGCGGCAGCCAGTGACTTCATCCCCTTTTTGAGCAAAAGATCAAAGATACAAAACTGCCGAGCCACAGATGCTCCTAGTTATTTGGGTTTGATGTTAAGAAAAAGAAAATGTTTTGAGTGTCGGGGGCTTAAAGTTAAGCTGGATTTTAACAGAATTTGGATGTTAAAAATAAAATTCGTACAGTGAGCAAAAGGAGTCTCTTTTTTTGCCGGCGGGGGCCTGACAGTGATATAAAGCTGGCAAATAACGAGTATGCATTCAGAACGCCTTAACCGTTCTGTCTGCTGCTCACATGCCATGTGGGTTATGGAATGGAGGAAGTAATGCATGGGTAGGCAAACTAAGGCCCGGGGGCCGGATGCGGCCCAATCGCCTTCTCAATCCAGCCTGCGGACAGTCCAGGAATCAGTGTATTTTTACATGAGTAGAATGTGTCCTTTTATTGAAAATGCATCTCTGGGTTATTGGTGGGGCCTGCCTGGTGTTTTTACATAAGTAGAATGTGTGCTTTTATTTAAAACGCATCTCTTGGTTATTTGTGGGGCACAGGAATTCATTCATATTTTTTTTTCAAAATATAATCCGGGCCCCCCACAAGGTCTGAGGGACAGTGGACTGGCCCCCTGCTGAAAAAGCTTGCTGACCCCTGAAGTAATGACTCCCACCAAGACACATTTAAGACCCCGCCCCCAAATTTGTGGAAATGGAATAGGTCTAACTGTCTTGATATTTTTGATCCCTAAAGTACAGACGTTATGGCTTTACAGCCCCTTAGATTGCATACCTGACATCTAGGGTTAGAAACTCAAATATATAAGCTAGGCACCAAACTCTCAGCTTCTCTGCCCAATGCAAGCTGCCTTCCTACCATCACATAACAGAATCTCCCTATTCCTGGCCTGCTGTGCTCAGATTCGCTTATGTAGGCATATACATAGCAGAGTTGTTTTAAATCAAAATGCCAAGAAACAGCTGTTATGTTACGAATTAGGACTGTCAAGACAAGCAGAGCTCTCCATCTGTACTGAACACAAATGGTGAAGACAGGAAAATAGCTGGCAACTGTCCGCAGATGATAAAAAAAGTATGTCTCTTATGTAATCTTGCCAGGCACTTTGAGTATACTGAACTGCACGCTGCGTATTCTCTCTCTTCCAAGGATTCTGAATTTCCAACTTCAGTAGAAGCCAGCTTCAAAAAAATAATGATGCATCTACACATGTTAAGAGACTTTACACTTGATATTAAACATGACTCATCCAAAGGTGTTTCTGTGTGAAATCTGACATGCCATTCAAAAATGAGTTATGACTCCAGCTTTTTCAGAAGTGTACAGACTAACTGGATAGAAAGCCTCCATAAAAGGGCACCAATGTGTTCAGGCAGACCCTGAAATACAGCCCACAAATAGCAATAAAGGGGGAAATTAAACTACAGCCTCTGAGAAGAAATGAAGTTGCAATAGGAATTCTCAGACAAAATTTCCTAACCAGAATTTGCTTGCAAATATGTAGTAAGTGCCATAAAGCTTTCCAGATGGTGTGGTACTTTATATTATTATTATTATTATTATTATTATTATTATTATTATTATTAACCTGCCCTTCACCCTAAAACACAGTACTAGATTAAAACAGCTTACAGTCACAAAGTGACCCACTGAGGACAGAGGAACTGCCAAGGGGGCCTCTTTCTGTTGAATTCAGCAGCCGAGAGGATCTGTAGCGAAGGAGGCAAGTCTTTCAGCTATTTGGGGCCTGAGTCATTTTGGGCTTTAAATACTAACGGAAGCACCTTAAGTTGGCCCAGAAAAGAACTGGCAACTGGTGCAGCTGTTTTACAAAAGGGGTTATATGAGATCTAAACGAAACCCCAGCCTGTAATCTGGCTGCTGCATTTTGGAGCAACTGAAGTTCTCAAGTCATCTTTAAGGGCCACCCCACATACAAGCAATCAGTGAAAGCCGATGAATTAGGGCACTGCCCCACCAACCTGAGCCTGTCCTCAGCCACCAAGCTTCTTACTCATTCCCATCATATTTATTATTTATTCAATGTATATCCCACTATACCTGACCCTGGCTCTGGCTCCCCTAACTGTTGGGTCTCCCTGCCTCCCCCAGCCCCAACCAGTACTAATGATCATCAACCATCACTGCATACAATTCTTTCTTCTTCTTTTTTAGGTGCACTTACTTGGGCAGTCAACTTCATCACTCTCATCCTCACAGGTGGGCCATCCATCACACTGCCAGTTCAATGGGATGCACTGGATGGAGCCACTGCGACAAGCGAATTGCCCTGGGATGCAGCGCAGTTCTGCAAAACACAAGGAGAAGGAAGCTGAAGGTTTCAGGCGAAAACAACTGCTCTACTAAATCTACAATAGATCTACTAGGAAACTTCAGGCTAATATCCCTACTGTACAAGTAAAAAAGTTTAACCCCTTACAATTGTTTATGAGTTTCCTAGGGTGAAAATGGTGATCAAGACTTGATATACAATGACCAGAAGGAAGTTTTACCAGGTGGTGGTTGTTTTTAATATAGCTGAAAAGCAGGCATGACTTCACTGAAATAAATACATACTCTGGAGACCTAGGGCTGATGTGCACCATGGTCTGTTTTGCACATAACACTAAGCCAGGGTTTAATGGCTTAGTGTTATGTGTAAACCCAGCAATTTATAAACTATGATAGTTCACTCATTAACCAAGCTGTACAGCTTGTTTATAAACCTTACTGTTAACCATAAGCTTAGTGGTACATATAAATCCGGACCTCCTCCTTAACTATAGCTGGGTTGTAGCTCACTTCAATAAAATATAAATAAAAAAAACCACACAAAACTATAGCTCAAAAACTGCAGAGCCCTGAGTGAAGTCTTTATTTGCAACAAGGTCCTACTTATTTTCTGCAAGTGTTCCTGGAATTACAGCCCACAAAAGCTACCTTACCAATGTGACTGAAGGCGTCTGTTCAAATTATCCATTTTGCAAGTCTCTTCTAATCAGAAGACACACACCTAGTGCAGGGCATGTGGGGTGATCACAAAGCTTGCCAGCTTTTATAGTATGGATTTTTCAGGCAAGGTGACAGGGGGCAAAAAGTTTAGTCTAAACTAGAGACACAGAACAAAGGCAACAAAAACATGGCAGCACAGTTAAGACATCCTTAAAAAGCCCAGCAAGGCAAAATAATTCAACCAATGGGTGTTGAATTAGATGATCCTTGGGTCCCTTCGAAATATACGATTCTATGAATGTACAATTTATGTACCCGTGTATACAAATAGTTAAGCAGTACCCTCATACTGTTATTCAAATGTAAAGTTCAGCAAGTGTACAATCTATATATCTGGGTATAGAATAGCTGAGTTATGCAAATCAAGTGCACACTCTTTCACACTAAGACAAGTGCCTGCATAGAGCTATCTTATACCTATGTTCAGTGCAGAGTGTTAACAAGTCAAATGTTAGCAGCAATCGGAGGACTGATCCTGCTTATCAGTCTGGATCAAAAGTTACGCAAGCATAGCAGTTCATCTAGGAAAGCTGTAGCTCACTGACAGGGAAATTGTTTTTCATGCTGAAGATCTCAGGGTTCAGTCCCTGGCATCTCCTGGTAGGATTCACTGTGGGCAATACTGAGCTAGATGGCCTAAGTTGCATAAGGCAGCTTCCTATGAACTGATCCAACAAAGTAGGTTTGTGCTGTGCGCTCCAGCCTCATGGAAAAGATCCACTGAACAAGTTTTGAAAACTGTGCATGCTCAGTGCAAAATCTTGGGGAGCATTTGGATCTCTACAAGGTAGCATGTGCACTGCTGAACGCTGTCTCTCCCACACGTACTAAGTCTCTGCACACCTTCCAGGGCAGATCTACCTGCCAAACCCCATTCTGGAATGCAATCTTCTGGAGTGGGGAATTCTCTAAAGCAGGAGTTGGGGGAGGGGGCTGTGGTCCTCCACCCGATGTTTTGAACTACAGCTTCATCAGAGCCTATGGTCAGGAAGCTGAGGTTGCTGTTGGCAACACTGTGTGGGCCACAGGTTCCCCACCCCTGAATAAATCAAGTGAGAGAAAGGAAATGTTGGCATTGCCAAACAAATAAAGTAATTTCTATCATACTGTGTGGCTTGGGGGGTGGGGAGCTCCAGATTTCTGGAAAGAAAGTGGCAGTCAGCACCATTTGTAAAAGATTTCAGTTACAAATACCCTTAAAACCAATGAGTCATTCCTGGAAAAAGTTAAATAAACCTGCCCTTGGTATCAAGAGTTTCCCATATATATTAGCTATTGCTAGACTTCTCTCCTTGCCAAATATTCTGAGACAAAAGCAGGTAGAACGGCTCAATAAAAATATAAAGCAGCTATAAATTCCTGAAATTGAAAATGCTGCAAAAATATATTTAAATATCAAGAGGTTAATCAAGCTTAGAGTCTTCTTATTGAATTATCAAAAAGCTCTCAATGTCCACTATGAACCTGAACCTGAGAGGACAGCAGAGAAAGGGATGCCGTAGCAGACAGACTTTTGTGACCATTCAATTGGCAGACAGTCATTAACCTTGACAAGATCACCTTTGCAGCACAGCAGGAAAAGTCCATCTCATTACAGTTCAAATCAGTTAAGGCTTGCAGCAAGAATCTGCCAGTACTTTGATGCTTTAAAACATTAAATGTTATTCTCCTCCAAAGTGAACTAGGTGTTTCCTAAATTGGCATTAATCAAAGGCAGAATCAGTCTGACATCCTGGAAATGTTCGAGCTTAAGGAGTCCTTGCTTTTAATGCATGCAATCCTATATTTACAAGTCAAAGCAGAATTTTAAAAAACCCCATTTTAACACACACTAGTTATTTTTACTGCTGCATAACTGTAGTTTCCTTCCAAGTTAAAAACTGATTTACAAAAGTTGCTTTGCTTCAAGGTCTCATGCAAAAAGACAGGTCAAACTCACTGAGGAGGCAATCAGAACAGAGGGTACCCACACATAAAATAGGTAATAAGAGAAATAAATAGTTTCATGATAGCATGAAAGGCTCTCTGTTAAGGAGCAGGAAAGCAGCTCAAGTAAGAGGGTGGGAATAAAAATAGGCCTTCCTTGCCTGACACACCGCCTACTCGGGATGAACATTGAGGTCACAAAGACAGCCAAGAACTCAGACCTGCCAGACTGCTATAGACAACAATGCAAAGTTACAACACAGCCAGAACAGCTTTGACTCATTTGCGGGTGCATGCTTGTTTTGTTTTCATATTATCATAATTATCATAGTCTAAGACGGCTGGATGGCATCTTGTACGCCTCCTTCCGGCAACTCCTGCAGCCAAGCTGGTGCCAAATGTATTGCTCTGCTTTCCTTTGGACCACACCAGCAAGGCCCAGAGGGGGAGCTTGTTGTCTGGGCAGCCCAAGACCTCCAGACACACTGCCCAGCCTTGTCCCCCGGGGAGGTCGCTTCAGCAAAAACAATACAGGAGGCAACAGTTATGAGGTACAGGCCTTTGCAGCCCCAGCAGGCGCTGTGATTCTCCAGTTCCCCAAGGAGCACTCCACTGTCTCTCAAGACGGACGAATGCCAGCAACAACAGCGAAAGAAACACAGCACAATTGGGCAAAGCTAAAAGTCATACCCATCCAGAAGCAAAGGGAAGCTGGAATGCCAAACTCAGAGTTTGGGTTCTGTATGAATACCACACTTCACAAGATGAAGGAAAGATGGCTGCTATATCACCAGAACTCAAGAACGCTCAATCCATGATCAAACTCCCATCATCACCATCTTGTGAGTTAAAGGGGGGGAAACCTAAACTAGGGCATCTTACTACTTGGGTTTATAGGATCTGTGGTCACTCATCTCCATGTTTGTAACTTAGGGTGCTAACAGTACAGAAACTTGAAATTCAAACTATAAGTGCCTTGTGTCAAACAAGAATGGTGCATGCATGTTTAACCTTCTGTTTAACATCACGTGTGAACCAGGCCAGTGTCTAAAACCATCTCTGTTCTCCATAGCCTATAACTTCTGCTCCCTGCCACTCCTTCATTTGTCTGGCAAATGTAAATGAAAGGGCTTGTCCTTTTTGGCGCAATTGTTGTACAATGGCTATCTACTAGTAGGCACTTTGTACATAATAACTATTGTTATTTAAGTCATCTCTCATCTTAAAGAAATACAGTGGTACCTCGGGTTACATACACTTCAGGTTACACACTCCGCTAACCTAGAAATAGTGCTTCAGGTTAAGAACTTTGCTTCAGGATAAGAACAGAAATCGGGCTCCGGCAGCCCGGCGGCAGCAGGAGGCCCCATTAGCTAAAGTGGTGCTTCAGGTTAAGAACAGTTTCAAGTTAAGTACGGACCTCCGGAACGAATTAAGTACTTAACCCGAGGTACCACTGTACATAGAAGTGGTTAGGGCCCTGTTGAGTGACAGCTCAGTGGTACAGCAAGTTGCTCTAAATCAGGCATGTCCAAAGTTCATTTCGGGGGCCTAATCCGGCCCGCTGGCCCCTGTGGCAGTTTATTTCCTGGGATAAAATCCTAAAAAAAGCTCAACAAATTTGGTTGGCCCTCACAGCCCTTCACTTCATCAAATCGGGCCCTCTTTCAAAAAAGTTTGGACGCCACAACTCTAAATCCAGGAAGGCCCCAAGTTTAATCTCCAGCATAAAAGGATCTCAGGAAGCAGGAGTACAAGGAGAGATCCTCTGCTTGAGACAATGGAAAATCACCATCAGAGTAGATGGATTAGATCAGGCATCCCCAACCTTCGGCCCTCCAGATGTTTTGGACTACAATTCCCATCATCCCTGACCACTGGTCCTGTTAGCTAGGGATCATGGGAGTTGTAGGCCAAAACATCTGGAGGGCCGCAGGTTGGGGATGCCTGGATTAGATGAATTCATTGTGTAATTCATTTTAAGGCAACCTCCTTATGTGCCATTCTCAAAATGATTTTACTGCATTTATTAACCACCCTGTGTGGTCTGGGAGTAATTCAAGAACCAAGGGGGGAATAAAATAAAAATCCTAAAACACAAGGAACACAGCACTAAACCAGCTAAAAGGGGTCTAATAAACCTAAGCAGCAATAAACAACTTTTAGTCATTTCCAAGAGTAAATTCAGAGGCTAAACTATGAGATTTTAAAGGTCTTGGAGAATAAAAATGCCTTTGTTTGCAAACAAAAGGTCACTGACAAAGGCACCAGGAGAACCTCTCTGGGAAGGGCATTCCATAAACAGGGTGCCACTACTAAAAAGGCCCTTTATAGCCACCTGCCATACCTACATTCGTTGCTGCACCCATAAGCTAGGTTTAAGCTGCCATTCAGGTCCTAGCTTTCATATCTCAGTTTCTAACACTGCGGGTTAGGGTGAGGGTACTCAGCACAGAGCCACCGTAGATTAGCTCATAGAACAGGCAGGTACATATGGGAAGAGACAGTCCTTCAGATACTGTGGCCCCATATCAATGAAGAGCCTCAAAAGTCAAAAACAGCAGTTCGAACTGGGCCCAGAAAGGAACAAGTAGCCGGTGAAGTTAATGGGAGTTCTAGCAAAACTTCAATGGGGCATCTACATTTTGCATTCTAGATTTTGAACTAACAACCAAAATACAAAACAGTTATGATGCACCAGCACATTTGAGAATGGTACGCAAATGTTATTGTAAAGTGCAGTTTGTCCTGGAGAAATACTCAGGAAGCAGAGCCCAGTTCCAGCTGTCACTTTGATGCACTTCTGCAAGGAAAGCAATTTAAGCATGCATGTGCAGCCCTCCATGGAAGCACACGCATGGACTCTGTACGTACTCTGGAATTCACGCCCAAGTGAAAAATATAAAGTGGAATGCGTCCCAAAGACTTGTTGCAACACCAAATAAATGCACAAAATGCTGTGTCAGTTAATCATCCCAGGGCTTCAGATCAAGAAGCCAGCTCACATTTTTAGGATGAAGGAGCTGCTCTCTTTTTCAGGGCTGCTGCATCTCAGGACTGGCCATATAATCTTATTCACATATTCAATCTCTCCCCTTTAGCATGTAGAGCAAAGAACAAACATTTACACGATGTAATTGCCCGCCTACCACAAACACCTCATTACATTCAGCAACTATTGGTTTTGGGTTTCTAGCACAGAAACCAGCTAAGTATTACTTTTGTTTGAAATAAGACTACTTTTTTAAAGGAAAGAACAGCCATAGTCCTTTGCTAAATATCTGACAATGCAAGCATTTTGATGTGATGGGACACTGTTAGGAGGCTAACGTTGTTAGCAACACAGCCAATTGTTAAGCATTACTCCACAATGAAGTTTATACGTGATGAGCATGTACAATGTGAAGACCCTTTGTCTCAAAGAAATCTTTAGTAGTTCAACATATGTTCCAAATGTGACAAGGTCCTATATTCAGCCTCTCCCAACTTGGTGCCCTCCAGATGTTTGCACTGAACCTCCCATCAGTTTCAGCGGCACATCATGCTGGCTTGGACTGGTGCAGGTTGTAGTCCAAAACATCTGGAGGGCACCAGGTTGGGGGTGGTTAAATATGCATATGCACACACACACAAGTCCCGCTGACACACAAGTCCCGCACACACAGGCCATGGCTGTATACAAAGACCATGGGGCAAAGGCTTGGAAGTACTGATCTTCCCAAAAAAAATTTGAAGGTCAACCCTAAGGTGACAGAACTACATGACCAGAAGGCAGCCTTTGCCAAGCCTCTTACACAGTTCCAAAAGCAAGCACTTCCAGGTCAATACCCACATTATTTAAACTAGTGTAGTGTTCATCAACATCAGGTCCCCAGATGTTGGACTACAACTCCCATCAACCCCAGCTGGTTAAGTCAATGGCCAGGGACAATGGGAACTGTAGTGTTATGGTTAATAGTGTTGGGAAATGACCTGGGAGACTAGGGTTTGAATTCCTACTCAGCCATGAAGCTCACTGAGTCGTGTCGGACCAGTTCCTATCTCGCAGCCTAACCAACTCACAGGGTCGTTGCGATGACAAAATAAGGAGGGAAGAATCATGTACACCACTCTGAGATCCTTGGATGAAAAAGTGGCATATTCATATATTAAATAAGCAAAGGTACATCTGCGAATTGACCAAGAGAATGCCATGAAAAGGACTACACACAGGGCAAGGAATATGTTTATGCTCTCAGCTGTCCTGATCCACAACTCAAGAGTAGACAACAACATTCATGTCCATCTCTTCACATCTGAGAAAACACCTGAGGAATCCCAACCGTGAAAAACAGTCACCACCGTTCCACTCAAATGGCGAAAAAGAACTTCCCAAGCACAGCTTGTAATCCAGGAACAACCAGACAAAACAGACCAAAGCTGTTACCATCGACAACAGAGACAAATGTAAGGTCTTACACTTAGGCAGAAAGAACCAGCTGCACAAATATAAAATGGGGGACACCATGTGAAAAGGATCTAGGGGTCTTAGTAGACCACAAGCTTAACATTAGTCAACAGTGTGATGCAGCATGAACAGAAGTATAGTGTCTTGATCAAGGGAAGTAACAGTCCCACTCTATTCTGCCTTGGTCAGACCACACCTAGAATACTGTGTCTAGTTCAGGGTGGCACAAATCAAGGATACTGACAAGCTGGAACACGTGCAAAGGAGGGCAACCAAGATGATCAAGGGTCTGGAAACCATAAGGTAAACCTTATGAGGAACAGAAGAGATAGCTCGGTATGTTCAGCCTGGAAATGAAGAGACTGAGAGGAGATATGATAGCCAACTTCAAATATCTAAAAGGCTGTCACATGGAAGATGGAGCAAGCTTGTTTTCTCCAGCTCTTGAGGGTAGGACCCAAACCAATGGATTCGAGTTACAAGAAAGGAGATTCATACTAAACATCAGGGGAAACTTTCTGACAGTAAGAGATGTTCAAAGTGGAACAGACATCCTTGAAAGGTTGTGGACTCTCCTTCCTTGGAGGTTTTTAAGCAAAGGTTGGACGGCCATCTGTCATGATTCTACATTGCAGGAGACTGGACTAGATGATTCCTTCCAGCTCTACAATTCTATGATTCTTTGAGACATCCCTAGATTCCAACCCCTTGACCACTGTTCTTTTTAGGTTTGCACAGTAACCACTTTCAGTCTGTTCGTGCCTCTACTGCTTGAGATCAAAACATGCACTGCAATGCAGCCACTGCAGAACCCAGATTAAAAGGAAAGCAGAGAGCTGGATGCTTCAAGCAAGCCCTCCAGCGTTTCACAGATGAGAACTAGGATAGGCTTTTATCACTACAATCATCACGCCAGAAAGGACTCCTAAGACCCTGTCCCCTCGCCCCTATTGTTCACTGCCAGTGGTGTACCACACTTCCTTTATGTTCACACTGGTAAAACTCTGGAAAGCGTTCTACCAATTTTGAAGCTGGGCGAGTGCATATTCTTATGCCAGAAAATGTGACTGTCCCTACAGTAGGACATTAACAGTTAGTAGCTGGAATGAGAAACTGCAGCAGGCTGTAGAGCAGGGGTTGTCAAATTTTTTTGACCAGTGGGCACATTTCGAATTTTGAGGGAGTACTGCAGGTTGCTGAGGGAGCACGGTAAAATACAACAGAGCTGCCTCCCATGGGGAGTGGAGGAATGGCATAACACAAAATTAGACAATACAGCCATAGTGAAGCTTTTCCCATAACTATGTCCATACTATAAAAGGCTTAGCCTATTGTATTGCTGCCTGCCATGCAGCCACTAAAGGCATAAGAAACCTGTTCCCTCCCCCATGCCAACACTAGATCAAAGTCTGGGCTGCCCCACTAAAAACATATAGATTTCGAAGCAGCATTCGAAATTAGCCAAGCATCAGGCACGTTTTGCACCTGGCTTTCAGTCACTGGCTCCACCATCTGGAGGTGCATGCCTGGGGATCCTTGGATCTTGACTGTTTTAACACACTAGCAACACACGCTGTAGAATTCTACAGTGGTACCTCTGGTTACGAACTTAATTCATTCCGGAGGTCCGTTCTTAAGCTGAAACTTATCCTGGGGTGCACTTGCGCTAATGGGGCCTCCCGCTGCTGCAGTGCCGCCGGCGTGCAACTTCTGTTCGCATCCTGGAGCAAAGTTCGCAACCAGGAGCAGCTACTTCCGGGTTAGTAGAGCTCATAACCTGAAGCACTCGTAACCAGAGGTACCACTGTATCAGTTATATTTTATCTGCACAATCAGAATGAATTTCAGGAACCAAAAAGTCGCACTGAAAAATTCGACTTTTGAGCTGTCTGGTCCAAAAATGGCAACCAGGCATTCTGTTTTGACAACGGTAACCCTGATTAAAGGAACCATTTGGCACCTAGCTTATATATCTAAGTTTGTGTCACTGATAGTGCTCACGCTCATGCACTTACTTGAATGAAGGAAACAGGGCAAGTTGAAGTGTAAGCATTAGCTGAACCACTTCAAACTTTCCAAGCAAATCCTTCAGCAGAGGAACAGCTTCCAAATCCTAATAGCATGACTATTAAGCAACCATATTAAGTTAAAACTACTGGACAAGTCTGAGGGAGTTAGCATAACCATGAAAGCTTCTCACATCTTTGGGCTGGATTTCCAACGGCTACCATGTCATATTTGGCAACTGATGGGATGAGCCCAAGGCGTATGGATTCATAGCAGAGGCTTTTCAGCAGCCCTCACATGTCGGCAGGTTTGATTTTTTTATGAAAGACATCTTGACAGTATAGCAAGCTGTGTCAAGCAAAATGTCAAGCCTGCATTGTGAGATTCAAGGGCTTGCTTAAAGAGTCTGAGGCAGATTCGAGTTCTTCCAACTTAAAAAAAAAACAACCCTAACCAAAGTAACAGAAATGGCATATGAGAAGTTCTTCAAAGAGTTTTCTGCACCAAATTTAATGAAATGCATCAAGGCTTTCAAGATTTCCTTTAAAAAGATATGACACATGGAAATAAAATGGCTGGGGTGCAAATACCTATACACTCAGCAGAATGATCAGGGCAGCCCTTTCCACAAAGTCCACTCATCCCTGCAGCACAAGTGTCACTCCTGAAGTTTGGAGAATCTTTTGAAGCAGGTGTGGAGAGACCTTTGGGTCTGCAGATGCTGCTGAACTACAACTCCCATCATCCCTGGCCACTGGCTATGCTTGCTGAGGCTTATGGGAGCTGTAATTCAGCAACATCTACAGGGTCACACCTGCGTTGGATCAATTGCCTCAATAACGTAACAGTCCTGCTTGATCATCATTTATAAAGGCACCTAAAAAAAATTAAGCAGCGTGGCAGGAAGTACAACACAAAACAGTCCCTGCCCACAGGCTTGCATTGTAATAGACACAATACAACAGCAGGAGAGGAATAGAGAGGTAAGCAAGCAAATGCAGACCAAACTTCTCCTCCTAGTCTACCATCCTGATGGCCACAGTAGCCAATCAGACGTCTCTGAAAAGCCCACCAGCAGGGCTTGAATGCAACAGCCTCCCCACCAACTAGCATTCTGGTCAACAGCTGTAATCGGACCCACCTTCTAGGTATCTGCCTGTTTGTCTTTTAGAGATATCTATTCTACTCTGCTGTTCCAAAAGCTAATTACATACTGCATAAAATACTTTGTCCTGAATCTGTTGTACCAATTTAGTTTATTAGTGGATCCTGTGTCCTACTGCTAGAATGTAATATGCAGAACACACTGGGCATCAAAAAGAAAAGCATGGCACAAAATTATTAAATTCAAAAGCTGTAAACACCATTTGGTTAGGTTATGTGACCCTGTCAACAATCCGTCCACATCGAACACTCACCTGAAAGAAGTCTTGCCAGAGCTAGTCTTGCACCTGCAGGTTGAAATGTAAAAGAAAACTTACAAAAGAATAGGAGACTTAAATGTACCAATATCAGAGAGGTCAACTGCCCCTTAAAAAAAATGAAATATGGATGGAGGCATGAAGCTAATCTACTTCAACAAGGTACACATGCCTGCTAAAGCATAGAGTCAAATGTCTTTCATGAGCACAATGCAGACCTTTCAAAGGAAAGGTCATGTTGGAAAGAGGGAGTGGGCATATTCAACTAACCACCACCACACAACTCAACAATGCACTCTGACAATTACCTGCATTAGTACATTACTAGCCTCATTCACACATTGCTGTAAGCCACCTTTAATAGTTTACCATGAGCAGACCAATTTTGCTCACTTTGCTCCTTCCCACAACTGGGAAGAGATCCACAATTCCTGGCTTATTGTTATGTCTCATCAGTTTATGCTTTGCCCAGACAAACCATGATCAGTAAGCCAAGAGCAAACCTTGGCTACAGATCATGGTCTGTTTGGAACAACAGAACCCATGATCCTAAGTCAGACAAAATGCTCAATCAGGGATTGTGCTTTGTTTCCCCCCACATGCTAGTGAGCAGCAGCAAAGTGGGAGAGAGCAGCATGTTCACACTAAGCCATTAACCATGGTTTACAGTGATGTGCAAACTGGGCTGTTGTTTTAGCAACATTTCAAGTCCCACATCAGTGCCAGTGTTAGAAACTCAGATATATAAGCTAGGCACCAGATACCACCTTAAACCTAAGTCATGGTCACCACCACGGAATGTCTGTTCTCCAGGGGGTTGGATTAATGACCCTTGGGGTCCAATGCTACAATTCCACAATTCTATGACTGTGCGATCTCAACTACATTGTTTGACGTAGCTTGCTCTTACAATAATTCACTTGTCCCAGTATGCAAGAAGGAGAAACACACACAATGCAAATGGAAATGGTATTAATTATGGACTAAGGCAGAGGTTTTTAAGCTGTGGTTGCCAACCTGGTACCCAGCAATCTCCACATGGTCACAACTGGACCTGTGCCAGTACCCAAACATGCCTGGTGAATTTTGAACACTGATCAGCGCTACATGTTGGGCACCATTGGGTCTATATCTGTATGTACCCTTTTGCCCAACATGCCTTTGAAAAGACTATTGGCTGGGCCATGTTCTCAAATAAACAAGCAAACACCTGGCTGGTTCCAGGTCAAGCGGTGGTGTAACACAGTGGGTGAGAGCATCCTGCTTCCCAGGATAACATCAAGAAAACCTCAGCAACATATGGAGGAAACCACTTTTCCCAACTGGAATTCAGAAGTATATTACCTTTTATGTTCCAACATGGCCAATAGCCATTGCTCTCCAGTGCAGCTTTCCCCCAACCAATAAACTCACTAAACGTAATTTACTTTTTTTTTAGCCCTCACATCTGCATAACAGGGATAATATTGTTCTATCTTAAATAGCTGTTGCGAGGATTGCTGAGAAACACTTGGAACATTTGGAGTCCACAATATGCGCACACCTTAAATATGCTTACATGCTAACAAGTAGCACCGAAAAAACAGATCTCTACATCCCGGCAGGTTGCACTTCAAGCACTTTAAAGGCAGACAATCTATGTCTTATTGCACCCTTTTCATCTGCTCTTAAGTGTGCATGACGAAACTCAAAACATATTATTTGAAAAATTAAGGCTATGCTGGTAATCCTTCTGACAGTATAAAGTAGTATCTTCAAAGAAATTTAAGAGGAGAACACAGAGAACATTGTAGGAGTCCCAGACACTGGATAGCAAGACTCTTTGATCGGCTATACTGGGACGGAGGCAGGGGGAGATGATGCTCAGATTGGGTGAAGGGGACTGTTGTACTAAGTCGATCTTGCCAAATCGTGTCCTCGGAGCAGCATTCAACCTCTGCAGCTGTGCACCGTACAAGACATTGCATAAATAAGAGTTCTAATACAGGTCAACTACAGAATGGTTGGCTAGGCTCCAACACTCATAATTTATGTTTATGGAGGAAGTTATGTTTTATGTTCATACAGAATAAGGAACAACACAGACAGTGTTGCAGGTACGGCACCCTCTTGTTACTGCTCAGAATACTTTGGGACCAGACAATTATGCAAGATCGTGCTTTGCTTCTGCAAGTTTCCTTACGCACTTTCACCGTATTAGTTGCTTTAAAATAAACAGTGATGTTGCCACCTTAGGAAAAAAAATGTTTCTAATCATCCACGGTTAGAGCCAGAGAAAAATGAGCTGAAAGCAGGATGATATAAGTAAATTTTTCCTCCTCTGGCATCCCCATAATAAGCCTCTCATGAGGATCAGGGGCCTTGCTGAATGACTGCAATGTGGCACGAATGGTAATCGAATCATGTGGAGGCAACATCGGTGGTCAGACATTGTCGGCTAAGGTCACTTCTAATAGTGCCCTTCAGCACAATTATCTCTGGATCTTCAATATTTAGCAGTTTTCCAAACCTTTTGAGTTCACCGACCCCTTGATGAGCTTATAAAGTTATCATTGACCCCAACACAATTTTTTAGAAAAGGAAAATAAAGTCAAGAAATATCATCAATCACCATTACTAAGAATCATTAAGATACTGGGCATACTTTTGTATTATGGAAGCATCTTATTAAACGCGGAGGTTTCTCATTGGCAAGAGATGTGTACTCTGTACATGCCCTTTATTTCTGAGGCCCATGGCCCCTCATTATATATTTTTCACTGTAGCTCACAAACTTTTTTGCCCCCCTCATTTTTCATGGGTGCCCTTTCCACCCATAAGAATTTTATTCACTCCCTTAACAGCCCAACCACTGAGGGGGGGCGGTCAATATTGAGCGCTCTGGTTGAGTAGGAAGGAATCAGAAATATCCTGCCTGTCTAGCCCCGCACTATCCCCAAAAATAGTGCCGTTTAGAGGAAAAGCAAGTGGAAAGCAGCATGATGGAAGCATATAAAATCATGTGTTGTATGAAGTGGGGGAAATGCACTTTTTCACATAACACTGGAACTTGTGGAGACTCCATGAAGCTGCATGTTGAAAGATTTAGGAGGGGCAAAAGGAAGTACCGTGTTTTTCGCTCCATAAGATGCACCTGACCATAAGACACACCTAGTTTTTAGAGGGGGAATGCAAGAAAAAAAAAATTCTTTAAAGGGAGCGCTGAGCAGAGTCTGTATGCATCCCAGGCTCTGCTCAGCGTTCCCTTTCACGAGTCACGTGTGTGCTGTGCTTGCAGGCTTTTACCCGAGGAGGGCAGCCCGTCACTGATGGGTTGCCCTTCTTCCTCCTCAGGGAAAGTCCCCAAGAGTCGCACACACGCTCCGTGTGGCTCTTGTGGGCTTTTGCGGGAGGTGGAGGAAGGGACAGAGTGCGACTAAGCCAGAAGCTAGAACAGCGAGAGGGAGCGCTGCGCAGCGATCCCTCTCGCTGTTCTGGCTTCTGGGATAGCTGCGCAGCCTGCATTCGCTCCATAAGACACACACACATTTCCCCTTACTTTTTAGGAGGGAAAAAGTACATCTTATAGAGCGAAAAATATGGTACTTCTTCACACAGCTTATGGTTAGACAAGTTCATGGAGGATAATTCTACCTCCGTTGTCAGAGGTAAGCTTTTGGATACCAGATGCTGGTATCTGCAAGTAGGGAGAGTTGCTGTTGCACTCGGGTCCTGCTTTCAGGCTTCCCATAGACACCTGTCTGGCCACGGTGAGAACAGGATGCTGGACTAGATGGGCCACTGGCCTGAACCAGCAGCCTCTTTTTAGATTTTAAACAACTGACGCACCCATATCAGCTGGAGGAATTCCTGAATGGGGCTTATTTCGTGAGGGCAGTTTGAGGAGCAGAGCCCCAAGCAATCTGAAGAGCTGCAAGTGAACTTGGGTCTGCCCCAGCTTCACCTTTATCCTTGCAAGCCTCTCGTTCCCAAACTGAGCATTTGCAATTTTGCCCTTTGTTCAGAAGAGGCCAGTTGCTGTGCCAGTAAGATCAACACAATAAGCTAAAGAAATGTGTCATTTTGGCTGAACATCAGGATTGGCAAGGACATTTTTTTAAGTGGGTGAACCGAATCCCTGGTTCTAAATTCCTCGGGCCTCCCCCTCTGCTGAAGACGTGGTGCATTCAAAAACAAAGAGACCTTTTTTCAAATGCTGAAAAGAGGGGTATATTTTCCAAGCACCTCATGTTCTTCCAAAATATGAAGGAAAGCAAGAAAACCCAAATGCCTAAAGAGAGCTGCAGATTACACAATGAAGAATCTGGCTCAAATACTTCTCTTCCTTCCAAAATATTGGTGCAGTTTAGTAAATGAACTACTTACTTTGCATTGCAGAAGAACTATTACCTCATGATGGCAAGTAAACAAGGAAAAAGTGCTAAGCAAAGTGCTAGCACAAGAAAAAGTCAAACGAGCGCAAACTACTAACACTACCTATGAAGGACTCAGAATTAGTTTGGCTTTATTGGTTTCACACCTATGTAAAATGGATCAATCAACTAAATTAAATAGAGTGGGATTTCTCTGATAAGCAGCCCTATTATTAAACATATTCTAATAATATGATTGTGCTGATGTTCAGAATACGTATATATGTGCAGTACAAATTCAGACTCATGGAGGCTCCAGTGGTACATATGCCCTGCCTCAACACAATACATTGGATGGAAGTGGTCACACCAGACAAATTAGATATTCTGTAGTATTAACTTCCACCCATTTCTGTACTGTAAGTCCAAAATCAGCTGAATAGACCATCCTGCCACTAATGCAGCTGAATGGACCATCCTGCCACTAATCCTGTCACTAATGCAGACACGTTGCTCATAAGAAAATGAAACAAATACACAGGTATACTAACGCTAAGCAGACATTGTACCTCTTATTGCTCAGATGACCAACCATCTGCCATCCCTCCTCCTATACACCGCTGTGCAACCTGCCTTCTGTTTTGCTCCCCTTCCTCATCCTAACATCATGCAGATCCAGTATTGTGACGCAGTGCTATAAACCCTCCAACAGGGACTGCATGATGACAGCCTTACATTTAGATATATATATATATGAATATATTTGGACTCTGTGATATTAAAGAGCATAATAGCCTGAAGTATAGAAGGCATGTTACCCATTGGATGAGCCTAGGATATTTGGTATGTTTAATGGCTTGCTGGTCTACTTTCTTATTTAATATATATTCATATTGGTATTTTTTTTTTTTTTTATAATTGATATTTATTAAATTTTCAAAGAATAACAACAAAAATTTCCAAAAAAGATTTAAGGATACAAAAAACAAAAATAGTACATAAACAAAAAAGAAAAGAAAACCCAGCCGCAAAGAAAGAAAAAAAAGAGAAACAGAAAAACAAAAATATGAAGTCCTTTACAATCTCTATTGACTTCCTTTCTAGACTTCCTCCTCCTCCCCCTTTTGTTTCTTAATTTTTAATTTTTACAGCAAATCCTTTCTGTTTTTTCATAACAATCTGTCATTACGTTTCCTTATTCTATTTTCCCTCTTGTCATATAAAAACTTTAAAACTCATAGCTTATATTCAATATTTACCAAATTCTTGCATCATTACATTTTACGAATCATTTACCAATCCTTACTTAAGCCATGTAATTTCATTCAACATCCTTCAAACATTTGTAAGCATTCCCAATATTAAAAAATAAAAAAAGAAAAAATAATAAGTCAAATTCAGTCCAATCAGCTTCCAACCTCCCTCCCCTGGACCCGGGATTGTCAGTCCTTTTAACCTCGATAATCCGGCTCCTTAACCTGGTTGTCTCGTATCCGAGGCCCTCAAGTCTCTTTCTTGCCCCTTTCGCCACTCTTGTTGATGATTCCTTTCCAGTCGTGGATGCTCCAGCAAGAAAATGCTTTTGACCCTTTGCAGCAAGTCCATCCCAAACCCATTGCCCAAGCCAGACAGCAAATAATACCACTTCAAATTTCCACAAAGCTTGGAGACTTCGGCTACTCCTCTGATAGCCCATCACCAGATTCGGAAGGTCCAAATAACCATATGGAGGGGGGTCGATCCATCCCCCATTTCCAAATCTGACCACATTTCATCTTTCCGAATCTGGTTTGTCCCAAGTTCATTTATCAAGTTCAAAGGCTGATCTTGCCCGTCCAAGGGTCCCTCCATCTCTGAAGCCTCCGTCACTACAGCAGGTTCATATGCTTGTATAGCCTTTAACTGAATTTCATTTGTTTGCTGCTGTGCTCCGGTAACTTCCATCATCAAGGTCGTCTCCTGACGCATCTGGTCCAGCTGGGCACTTAGTTTTGAAAAACCTTCCAGGAACAATTGTTCAAGCCTTTGTACTAGCATTGTCCTTCAAGGTCAAAGAAAATTCTTTCCCACGACAATAGTCCAATAGTCCTTCTCTTTTAATCTCTCTGCGTTGCAATTTCACTAAATTCCACTAGATGGAAATTTTTTTTTTTTTTTAAAGGAATAAAAGCAACGGCAACAATCTTTCTTTTTCCAGAAACACTTTATCCAAAATTCCCCCTTCCAAATTCAAGAGGCAACAGTAGAATCAAAATGTTACCCTTCTTTTAACTAACTGTCGAGCTGGATAAACTTCAGAACGTCAATTCTGACAGCCCGCTCCTGGTTCAGGGCGGTGGAAAATTACTTTATTTTAAACTCACTTCCGCAGGATTGAAAAGTCCAAATACAACCCCTTCTTCTCCTGCAGTCAAAGGGGGGGTTCAGAAATCTTAGATGTTGAATTCTAGTTCTCTTAGAATTTAATTTCCAAGCTTTAGTATATTTTGTCTTTGCTTTCTTCACATAACAAAAGAACGGAAGGCGACTTCCTGTTTAGACCTTCCCATTCCGAGTCCCAATTAAGTTCAATTTCAAGTCCAATATTATTTGTTTATTCACCAGTCTTAAAAGTGGTTCAACTCTTCCAAGATCAGGTACTCACGGATAGATATTTTAGATGCCAAATTGTCCAGGAAAAGGCAGCGCTCTCCGATAACGGCAGTGCGGCTTTGCTGCACGGAGGAAGCAGTCGACTCACAGCACCCCGCACCTCCCACTCCGGAGCCCGTTACCGGGCTCCTGTAGCCATGAGGAGAGCGCTCTCGGTGCCCGCCGAGTCCCACGTCCACAGGCTTCTTCCGCCTGTGGTTTTTGCGGGTCCCCGCTGCGCTGTAGCGGCAGGACCCAAGCCTCCCTGCAGCGGGTTCCCTTCAGTCCGAAGGGAATTCCGCCATTTTCCGGAGGCGCCACCCCGGAAGTCTCATATTGGTATTTTAAAACCGTTGTGGATACAATGCTCTCCTACATTGCTTTAGCAATGACAGTAGTAAACACTAGCATAGGACCATTTGTAGACACAACCACCGAGCCTAATGAACTATCCTTTGCAGATACGATAAGAATTAATTTGCATACACTGATACAAACTTAGCCAAAATAACATTCCACCACTGAAAGTCTCCTACTATTCAAAATAGACTGGCTCAGCCTTCCCCAACTTGGTGCCCTCCAGATGTTTTGGACTTCAGTTCCCATCAGTCTCAGTCAGCACAGCTAGGCAGGCAGGTGATGGAAATTACAGTCCAAAGCACCAGGAGAGAACGAGGTTGGGAGCGCCTCAGCTAGATTATGCACATTTGCCGTAACGTGAATCAAACCGCGTACATTTTATAGGCTTTTTCCATTAATTAAATAAATGGAGTTGCTGACCCTTAAAAACTGTTGATGCTCAGCGGAAATCAAGGAGCTTCAGCTTCACTTGCAGACTCAGCGCTGGGGGAACGGGGGGCGACAAAAATAACATGCATGATCTCAGCCAAGTTTTCTTGCTCTTGCAGGCTATCCAAGATTGGAGAAACCCAGATTCCAATAATAATAAAAAAGCTGCAAAATATTCACATGCTCCCCTACCCAGGCATGCTGCTACTGTTCAAGCACAGAGGAAGCTTAGGTCTGGCATTCATCATCTTCGGTTTCAGCTCAGGGGTGGGGAACCCCAAGTCTAAGGGTGGCCCTCCGGACCTATGTGGCCCTCAGAACACTCTCCAGGCTACATCCCTTGCTGCCCTGCTTTGCCACTGAATGTTTTTGCCAGGCTGGAATACCTCGTTGATCGTGCCTCTTGCTTGCCTATATGGAGGATGGAGTGGTGGATGATTATGCAGAAACCATCTACCGTGCAGAGATCAATGGTACATTCTTTGCTCCACCCACTTCCCCCTCTAGCCATGCCCAACACTGGCATGTGGCCCCAAGGTTGCCCAAATGGGAACGCAGATCCCAAGCTGAAAAAGTTTCCCACCTCTGCTCTACCGGATTATATCACTTCGTAGCCAAATGTGCTTGGCACTAGGAGCGAGACCAGCTCCGTTATAGACTAAAATAAGCAAAAAGGATGGTGTGTGCCTTCTTCTATCACTACTTGAGAGAATGAGGGGAAATGATGCCAAGTTAAGTCGTGCCTCCTGGGCCAATCAAGATTCGCAGTGTGGGTGGTCAGGACAAAGCTGCCCAGGCAGCCGTCCAAGTCTGCTCAGCCAGGGCCCGTTTCGCACTTGGAACACAACAGCCAATACACTCAGGACCACTTCACAGGGAGCAGCTCTTTGACATCTATGACGAATCATTTAATTACATTTGCACAGAACCTCTCACAATGCGGCTGAGGCTCGCTGCAATCCTTCACTGGCATTTGCTTAGACGTTTCTTAGGAAGCAGGTTTATACTGAATCAGACCACTTGCCAGTCTAGCTCACTTGTCTTCAGCTGCGGGGCCACGGCCTGATCCAAGTTGGATTGCAACAGGAACACTACCCCCTTGCAAATACACGGGGAGAGCCATATTCGAAATTCCCCAAACACGTTTTGCCCCTGGCATGTGTCCGATTGCAACCATATTTTAAAGAACAAGTCTCAAAGCAGTTTACATTAAAACATCAAATAATGCAAGCCAGAATAAAACAAATTCAAGCTTCAAGGGAAATGTTTCAGATCCTTCTCTAATAATAATAATAATAATAATTTTTATTTATACCCCGCCCTCCCCAGCCAAGACCGGGCTCAGGGCGGCTAACAACCAATAATAAAAACAAGTTGATTAAAATACAATTTAAAAGATTTTAAGTGACCTTTCGTCTTCCCGAGTCGTCAGCCTAGCATCCAGAGATCTCCACATGGTTGCCATTGGACCCATGCCAGTTTCAAAACATGTCTGGCACCTGGCTAATTTTGAACACTGCCATGTGGAGATCTCTGGATGCCCAGCTGGCAACAGACATCTCCATCTGGCTGACCCCTCCAGCGTTCTTAAGCAGGTTAGAAGAAGCGCTTATCTTTTGCATTTATTTCCCATCGTTTGCTCCAAGGAATACATGGTTCAGCTAATCCCTACAACGACCCTGTGAGGTAGGTTAAGAAGCTGCAACTGGCCCAAGATCAAACAGTGAGCTTCATGACTAAGGACGGATTTGAATGCTGATCTCCCAGATCCTAGTCCGACACTCTAACCACTACACCACCCTGCCTTCCTAGAGTACTTCTGCTATATAAATCAAGTAGGTAAATAAATATGAAGAAAGCAACATGTCACTTAGAGAAAGAGCTGAAATATTTTCCTTGAAGCTTGAATTTGCTTTATTCTGGATTCACAAATTCACATCTTTTGCCACGTGTAGAAACTGGTTGGGTACTTCTGCTATGCTGTCGCATCATATCAGGCAATGGGATAAAGTTTAATAAGATTCTAATGTACAAAAAAAAAGTGCAACAGAAGCAAAAAAAATGTTGCCAAAAATAGTATTAAATGTTCTTTTCCTTTCAATTCAGGATTCAGCACCAGCTACTGGAACCTAAAAAGATTCTGTAATTAGCTGACACAAAATTCTTCATGTCCCTATTCGATGAGCTGCTTTTAGAAGACAGCTATGTGGCTTCTCCAGAAAATAAAGAATTGAATCAGGAACTTTTCCAGTACACTAAATCTCATTTGGCATGTTGAATTATTATGTGTACTTTAACTAACTATACCATCTACCCCACTTTAAAAGGAGGCGGGGCTGCATTCATAATCAGTAACGAACAACAGCAAATCTTATATCACATGTTCCTCATCGTTGTCCACCTTCATCTGCGCACAAGCAGGTGAAATTAGCAGCTTCGGTTTCTGGTTAGTGTACAGTACACCATGTTTTGTCGATGCATCCAAATGCAGTAAACTACAACTTCCCTGCAAACAGCGACTTGGGATCTTTTGGTTCTGGGCGAACTATGGCTTGAGCAAGTCAAGGTTTACACATCTGGATGCATCACCAAACTATGGTTTGCAGCTAACCAGAACCAGGAGGAAGGAGCATGTGAGCCCAAACCTCCAAACCAGTTTAGAATAGTGTCTGTATGGAGTCAAGATAATTAGTGCATATGATTCCTAAGGGAAGTCACCTGGAATTAAGATAGTTACCATTTTGAAACCGCCCAATTTGATTGATATTGCAACCATTCATGATAAACAGAGCACGGGGGGGGGGGGTATTTTGCTGATGTTGAAGCCATGGTCATGTGGTCCACAGGCCCAAGATAGAGTGGGGAAAGAAGATGGAATAGGAGAGGAAGAAGCAGACATTCAAAAAAAGACTCTTTTAGATGCTAGTATCAAGTTGCAGTAAAGGCCTGCTGGGAACAAGGAGCTTAGCAATGGCTGATTCCTAATCTCGGAAAAAAACCAAGACCTGGCTGTTACCCAAGACTGTCTCCAGCCCCAGGCAAAACAGACTGGTTCCTTGGTAGGTGGGAAACAGGAATCAATAGATCTGAGGGAGTCCTTTATATTAGGAAGAGGGGGGATTTAATTTCAGGTGGTAGGCTAGGCAAAAAGTCAACAGAAGCCAAATTGAATTGCTTTACCTAGCAGTTGGCGGGAACATCCCCACAGGGAATAAAGTCACATCTTCAGGTGATAGAAGATCCTCTTCTTCCAGTTTAGAATCCCACAGCTTCAAAGCTAAATTTGGCATTTTCCAAAGTCCCACAAAATGGGAAAGTAGGATGTTACTGTATTTTTTGCTCTATAAGACTCACCTTTTCCCTCCTAAAAAGTAAGGGGAAATGTGTGTGCGTCTTATGGAGCGAATGCAGGCTGCGCAGCTATCCCAGAAGCCAGAACAGCAAGAGGGATTGCTGCTTTCACTGCGCAGTGATCCCTCTTGCTGTTCTGGCTTCTGAGATTCAGAACATTTTTTTTCTTGCTTTCCTCCTCCAAAAACTTTCCTCCTCTTGTGGTCTGGTGCATTTTATAGAGCGAAAAATATGGTATTCTCCAAGGGAGCATTCCCTTCCATAGCTAGGCAAAGCTAGCCCAATTTGGCTTCTACTGACTTTCCTTTCCCTACATACAACAGCTAATCTGTTGGTAGAGTATGAGAAGCTCAGGTTCGTGGTGGGGTCGAGCCCCACATTGGGCGAAAGATTCCTGCGTTGCAGGGGATTGAACTACTTCCAGCTCTACAATTCTATAACTATAAACATTCTTCAAATAAGTGAAAGTAGCCAGTTTTGGAAAGGCACTTTATTCAAACAGGCCAAATTCAAATAAGCAGTTTAAAACAGCTCTTTTAAAATAAACAATACTGGATGGTAGAAGACAAGTTTAGATAATTTAAAAGGATGAGGAGGAAAGCCACTACTCCAAGAATCCACATATTTGCTGCCAGCTCTCCAGAAGCAAATGCCCCCCTAACCTCTTACACCCCGCAGATTCTACCCCACAGGTCTCACCTGCTTTAAAAAATGTAGAGGATATAAAAAGTAGCAGTAGAAAATCATATTGATGCTTCAACATCTAAATTTATGACACAAATGACAGACAGCCCTGACCATCTCCCAATCCTTCTGGGCACCCCAGAACCTGCAGGAGATTGGTTGCAACCACACATAAGAGATGGCCAATAAAACAAGTCAGTGTTTGAGGTGCCCCTGCATATCTTACACTGTACAAGTCCATTAAACGGGAATCAAAGTATATCCTGGTTAATGAGAAAACAAGATTCAAATCAATTTTTAATTATACCAGCAGTGGTAAGCCTCATAGTTAATGTTGATTAGCCGAGACACAAGATTTTAACAATATTAAATTTCCTCCAGGTAACCTTGATTATTCCATCTTGTGGGGAGAAGCTATTAAGAAACTTTGGTTAAGAGCCTGCTAAAAATGCCCAGTGACCCTACATAACAGTCTGCTGGTCTTGCTGACTGTTGATAAGATTAATATTCTAAAAAGCTAGCCTGTGTTAAATCCTCACTGAACAATAACATGTTTCTGAAAAATATTAAAGCATTACAATTGCCCTGAGCTGCAATAATCTGAATCAAAGTTCTACACAATCCAACTGCGTTGCAGGAGGTAGGATTAGATGACCCTCAGGATTCCTCCCTATGTTGAAATTCTATGATAAAAAGGACTTGCCGTGACCATTTCAGGCTTTCAATCAAACTTTTTAGTGTTCTCAAGGCATATTACTCTTACAACTAGAACCTTCAACAAGGAAACAGTTGGCTTCTCTCTTATAGAAAAAGCTAAAGCCAATGTCAATTAGCGTAAGAAATGGAGGTCAACCTCAAAATACACCAATAAAATTCTTGTGGCACCTTTAAAGACTAGAATATACAGTGGTGCCCCGCAAGACGAATGCCTCGCAAGACGGAAAACCCGCTAGACGAAGACACTCGCGGAACGGATTAATTTCGTCTTGCGAGGCACCACTGTACACTGTGGCATGTTTTCATGGACCAGAGAGATCACTGGATCAGATACAGGAAAATTGCAAAGCTCTCTTAAATAAAGAGAGACCACTGTTCTACCTCCTGCTCAATACTGCCTCCTCCACACTGACTGTCAACAGCTTTCCCAAAGCTTCAGAAAGAAGAAGTGATGGATTAACCCTGCACCTTTCGGCAGACACAGAGTATGTGCCCCACCACAGGGTTATCTTTGGCTGGCAGAGACAAATAGACACAGATAAAACCATATTCTAAACAGCAAGGCTAAAAGGCTGCAAAATACACAAGAGTCATTTGGGGCCTAGCTTATATATATTTGAGTTTCTAACACTACACCCGATTGGCATGGACAGGACTGGTCAGTTTCTCTGCTGCTATCACACACGTAAGCAGTGATGTTTGAGTGCTTATGTTTAAAACTATGTAATAAAATGATGTCATGATGAACAATGGTTGGCCTCAATCCACACGGCAGGAGCAAGGTGTACATGCAAGCCTAGACATGCAAACACTAGACAAACATACAGCTAGTAATATTGGTTTTTATAGCATCCATCACCTGACTTAGGGGAAGGGCTGTAGATTCAGTGGTGGAGCACATGCTTTTTGTGTATAAGGTCACAGGTGCACGCCCTGGCATCTCATAAGAACCTGAGAGGAGGCTGCCAGATCAGGCCAATGGCCCATCTAGTCCAGCATCCTGTTCTCACAATAACTAACCAGATGGCTGTGGGAAACCTGCAAACACAAGAACACTCTCCTCCTGCCATTTCCAGCAACTGGTATTCAGGAGCATTACTGCCTCTGACCATGGAGGCAGAGGGCAACCAGTGTTAGAAACTTAGATATACAAGCTGGGCACCAAATAGTTCTTTAAACTAGGGTTACGGTCAGAACAGGATGTCTAGTTGCCATTTGGGGGCCAGACCACTCAAAAGTAATATTTATCAATACAATTACAGTGGTACCTCAGGTTAAGTACTTAATTCGTTCCAGAGGTCCGTACTTAACCTGAAACTGTTCTTAACCTGAAGTATCACTTTAGCTAATGGGGCCTCCTGCAGCTGCTGCGCTGCCGGAGCACAATTTCTGTTCTCATCCTGAAGCAAAGTTCTTAACCTGAAGCAGTATTTCTGAGTTAGTGGAGTCTGTAACCTGAAGCGTATGTAACCCGAGGTACCACTGTATTTGGTTCCTGAAATTCGTTCTGATTGTGTAGATATAATGGATAGAATTCCACAGGATGTGTTGCAAATGTGTGGAAAAAAACAAGTTCCAAGGATCTGCAGGCATGCACCTCCAGATGATAGAGACATCAGGCACCATCCTGGTGCCTGGGCATCTTCACTTGGTCGCAAGTGGCTGGTATAGGGACCCCTGACCATTAGGCCCAGTCACAGCCGACTCCGGGGCTGCGGCACTCATCTCGCTTTATTGGCCGAGGGAGCCGGTGTACAGCTTCCGGGTCATGTGGCCAGCATGACTAAGCCACTTCTGGCGAACCAGAGCAGCGCACAGAAACGCCGTTTATCTTCCTGCTGGAGCGGTACCTATTAATCTACTTGCACTGTGACGTGCTTTCGAACTGCTAGGTTGGCAGGAGCAGGGATTGAGCAACAGGAGCTCATCCCGTCGCGGGGATTCAAACCGCCGACCTTCTGATCAGCAAGCCCTAGGCTCTGTGGTTTAGATCACAGCGCCACCCACGTCCCAAGTGGCTGATAGCCAGGTGCAAAATTTGCATGGCAAATTTCAAGCACAGAGGGTAGCCATTGTGATTAGTAGTTTGGGGGGGGGGTGTTGCAGGGAGATTCTGAACCACTAGTGCCAGTCCATGTAGGCAATGCTGAGCTAGACAATGGCTTGCCTCAATAAAAGGCATCTTCCTACAGGGATAAGGAGAAAAGGGAACCTGGATTAAGTCTGCATATCCAAAGCAAGCAAGCAGTACTGTCAGCACTGCCAGTTCCAAAGCATGAGCGATGTGCACGCAGCTCCATTTGTATAAGAGGAACTCCTACAACTAAACGGTAGCTGCTGAATGTGGGGATCCCGCGTTCGTAGCCATCAAGTCAAATGGAGACCCACGCACGTGAGTCTGTTCTGTAGATCTGGTCCCTTTGCATGACAGGGGAGAATAAGAAGGGCACCAATCCCAGGGGGAGTAAATATAAGCATATAGTAATATGGGAACGAGACTAGCACAGATTTACTGAAAAGCTAAAAGGGATTACTTGACTGGCAGAAACAGTGTCACAGGATACAAGTTCAGGCCTAAGCCTCATGCTGCACAGCGATTACAACATTCAGAAAGATTTGAGAACAGTATTACGCCCTACATAGTAGCCATAATGGGAACATAAAGCAAGACAGAAACCTTAATATTGTCCTTTAATTAAAAAAAATTCTTCACGCTAGAAAAATTATTCTCTCTAGAAAATCCCAAAAGAAATCTGAATTTAAGGGGAGGAAGTGTTCTAATTACATGGCCTTCAGTAATTGCCCCTTGGTTTTCCAAATATTTTGGAATACAGCTTACTTCTAAGCACCTTTGTAGCACTTTCCTGCATCTTCGGCCTCATTACACCATGCGAGGGAAGTACTCCTGCTTCTCTAATTATATAGTTTTAAATGTTATCTCAAAGGCACTTCCTGAAGGAAGTACTAGGAGCAAGACAAACAGTCTTGATCTATCCCTTAGGGCTGGCAAGCTCCAAGCTGTAGGTCGCTGAAATCGAGAGTCAGTCACTGGGAAGAGCTCAGCAAAGCTCAACTAGCTGGGCAGAAGGTCAGTATTTTAAAACTTAGGTTTGTGGCAGTGAAGTCTCAACTTGCACACAGCGCATGAGCTAAGAAGAAAGAACAGAGAAAGGTGGGAGATGGGGCACCCACCTGCTATTATCCTCATCATTGTCTGTTTATTAGTATGCCACTTTCCAACAATGGTGCACAAAGTGGCTCGCAACATACCAAATGAACCATAATAACTGTAACAATTAAAATGTATATTAAGAAAAATTAGAAACAATCATGTCAGTAGGTACAGAAAATAAATCCATACGAAAATGGTACAAATAAGCCAACACAATAAAACAGCTCAAAACTGAACGGGGGAGAGAATAATCTCCAATAAAGAAATAAAATGGCAGCACACAAAATTGGGAACGGGGTTGCTATTCCCAGAAGCTCACCACAATTAACTTGCAAACATTGTGGTAGCCTTATCTCCCAGCTCTCACCCGGGTCTCCCTCTCTCATTCACTTCCCAATTTCTCACCTCCCTACTGTCGTCAAATATATGAGCACAAAAGAGGGCAGTGTGAGAGAAAGTGCCCCTGGTCACAGTGTTCGAAACTCCCATTGTTCCAGGCGCATATTGCAACAGGGAATTTCATTAGCGCAAGCAGTTTCTGAGATCTGGGCTCAGTACTGCGCCTAAGATTTCAGATTAAAACTGCATAGTGGAAGGAAAGGGTCTTCTGCATCTCCACTTCCAGCTGCTCTCTGAAGACTGGAGAAGAGACCCTCTTAAGAATATTAGGGGGGTGGGCAGGGGAAGGACTAGACCATGTGAAAAATGAACATAATATTTTAGCTGAGGTTCATTCATTTTCAGCTTTGTATTCTTATAAAAAAGGAGGCCTAAACATTCCATTGTTGCACCCATAACCTAGGTTTAAGGTGCCATCTAGCTCCTAGCTATCATATCTCTGTTTCTAACACTGCCTGTTCACTATTTTTAAATCACCTTCTAGTGATCTCTTATTGCTTCTCACCTCCACACCTCAGCAGATCTGCTTGCCTTCCTTGGCTCACAGGTAAATTCCACATTTGTAAGTACAGTGGTACCTCTGGTTGCGAATGGGATCCGTTCCAGAGCCCCGTTCGCAACCTGAAAGGAACGCAACCTGCATCTGCGCACACGCCGGTCACGATTCGCCGCTTCTGCGCATGACATCATTTTGCGCGTCTGCGCATGCATGAATGGCAAAACCCAGAAGTAACCCTTTCCGGTACTTCCAGGTCGCCGCAGGACGCAACCTGAAAAGACTTAAACCTGAAGCAAAAGAAACAAGAAGTATGATTGTAATGCAAAGTCGAGAATCTTGGCTTAAACTATACTATACCATGCACACGGTGTTAGAAACTGAGATATGAAAGCTAGCAGCTCAATGGCACCTTAAACCTAAGTTATGGGAGCAACAACAGAATGCCTAGGCACACTTTTTTATAACAAGAATCAAGAGCTGAAATGAACTGCAGCTAAAATATTTTCACATAGTCTAGTCCTTCTCCTGCCCACCCCCCTAATATTCTGAAGAGGGTCCCTTCTCCAGTCTTCATAGAGTAGCTGGAAGTGGGGGGGGGGGCCAGAAAAAGATTCTCCTTTCTTTCCACTCTGCAGTTTTAATCTGAAAAACTTAGGCGCAGTACTATGCCCAGAGCTCAGAAACTGCTCGCGCTAATGAAATTCCATCGCAAAATACGCCTAGAATAATGTGAATTTCGAACACTGCCTGCATGAAGCCCCTACCTGTGATGCGCTGGTAAACAAACCAGGAAGGAGGTAACTTCATGTTATGCCCATAAAACAGGATGGCTAGCCAGCTTTAAAGAATTGTTTGTTGTTGGCTTAAAAATCCTGGTTTGTCAAGGTAAAAAAAGCCACGATCCTGGGCTTAAGCCATAACGCTAAGCTATCATCTTCTTGGTTTGTTTTTTACTCACTCGAGCCAAGGGAGAAGCAAAGCAGAAACACTGGCATGTGGGCCATGCACAGTATGGTTTGCTAAGTCAAGGTTCTTCACATACCATGACCTGCAACACAGGCAAAGAGTAGCTGCTGGCTTCCTTCTCCCAGCCACTGAGCAACAGAACAGGAAACCAAAGTTCTTACCAAGCAGCTCCTGCTCTTCCTCAAAAGCCTGTGTTTTTGAGAGGAACTTGGCTGCATCTGTGTTTAGCAAATAAAAAGCGGGGGGGGTGGGACCTGGAATGGACATTTTTTGATGAAGGGAAAGAAGAGGGTACATTCTGTACCTGGGGCTGTAAATACATATCAGGGCTCAGCTCAGGAATAAAATTCTGGATGGAATGAAAAGGGACAATTTAAGCAGGCAAGCAGGGAGAGATTTGGTTTTTTTCCGATGCGGGGAGAAAATGTCCTCTTGAAAGGAACTACTAGTAAAGGGGTGGATGTGAAATAGCAGGTTTTGGGGGTGTATGCAGGCAAAGGAGGAGTAAAACTTAATTTCAAGGTACTGAAGCTCAGGCCTATATATGCCTTAGACTGAATCAAACCACAGGTATGTCACGTTCAGTATTGTCTACACTGGCTGGCAGCAGCACTTCAGGGGTTTCAGGCAGAGTTCTCTCCCAACACTATCTGGCGATGCCACTGTGGTTTGAACTTGGGACCTTCTGCATGCAAATTCAAGGTTTTGCCACTGGCCCTTGGCCATGCTTATGGAAATTTAAACATTGCCATGGCATTCCCGGGAGAAACATGCTGATGTACACCCGCAACATCATTGTTCTGGGGCTCAGGGTGAGATCCCACAAAGTGCTGCCATACTTGCTCAAGACGGCATGTTAATTATGATTACCCTACCCTTCACTCCCTTGTTAATAGTTAGTTCCTGTATGGAAGGCACTCCATGGAAGGCACTCCTGTCCTCATCTCACTTTGCTCTCTGGGAAGCAGCATCCTAAAAGGTGCACATGGTTTCAAGGAAAAAAGGATGTGAGCTATCAGCTGGCGACAGATAAGAAAGTGGAGCATGGAAGACAGAACCACCCACCACAAGGACTAGAGTAATTCTGTGGTGTTAGGCAACAGAATGGGGCCTCTGCACCCCAGTCCTTGTTGAGCCACTGCTAGTCAAGAGTTCTGGGCTAGAAGAATTAATGGGCTGACTCAGTGTGGTTGAATCAGCTATGCTGAAAACCAAAAACTTCCAAAGCACACACAAGGGAGGCCAGCACACCTTGTGGCACAGAACAAAACAAAAAAAACCTAGAATAACTGCAAACCTTGGTGTGGAGCACAATGAAAAGGGAGGCTTGCACTAGTGTGATTTGCTTGGAGCCTGACTTAAGCAAGGGCCACCAACGAGTGAAAAAATGGGCGACAGTGTAACCCAGTAGGGAAAGCTCAATTATTATACTACAGTGATACCTGAAAGAGCATGTCGGTGCTCTTGATTCTGCAAAATGGAACACTGAAGTCATTCATAAACAAGTTACTTGCAAATCAACAACTGGGTAACAATCAAGTTTTGAAGAGGCTGGACAATTTGTTTTTGAACAGCATGATGTGGCAATACTACAGGAGTCCTGCTTCAATGTGACAGCAGAGCAACACAACCCATTTTATACAGTGGCCAGATGCAGTATTTTTGCCGTGCTGTGGAACTAAAGGCTTTAAATTAGGGAAAGGGAATGCATGGTCCTCTAGATTTCATCACTGGACTCCAGCAGCCCTATGTAGCATAGCCAATGGACAGCATCTGAAGGACAATAGGTTCCCCTTCCCTGCTTTCAACAGAACCATACAGAGAACACATACCAACCCCTCAACTTCATCATATGGAGGACCTTAGCCTTCACTTAAAATGGCAAACTAAAAAAACTATGAGCATTCACCAGTAACAAAAAAAGGTGGCACTCTTTATTTTAATAGGAAACAAGAAGCCACCAAGTTAACATACCACTGACCAAGCAATGTAAAAAGAAATTCCTTCGGAAATTTAAAAGCCCTAGGTCTCTGTGATATGGTTATACAATAAAGCTGATGCAGTATCTACAATAAAACACCAAGAACAATTTGCAGGAACATGCTCATGAAAGCACAAGATCCTCAGATCAGAGGAAAAGGTCTCAATTTGTACAGCTACCCAAGCTGTTAACAAGTACTTTAAAGGGGGGCCGGGGAAGAGAGAACCACTTATAACAGAATCTGTTTATTAGGAAGCACCAAAGCAGCAGAGAAAATAATAAATTACAGAAAACGCATGAAAGAAGTCTTTGCTTTTGCTCCTGCTTCCTTTAGGTATTACCATGCTTAAAAGGCAACAGACTTCATTAATTCAGACCTACATATTTCATTTCACTAGTTATATTTAAATAACGATTTTATCACCATTAAAATCACTCACACATACTAATTAAGGACCCAGGCCATGATCTAACAAAGATATATGGTGCACATGGATAAACCCCTGGGAGCAGGCAAAAGTTGCTTTAGAATTTTCACCTCTCCTACCGCTGAAGAGGCAAACCAACTGCCTATTTAAAAACCAGCTTGCCTCTTCAGCAGCAAGAATGGTTCTCCCTCATATACGTGCAGTTTTGCTAGTTCAAAGTTCCACTTTCCACATGCAGATATAATCCCAAGTTGTAGGATAGAAAAGATGTAGGAGACAATTTTACGAAACTATTGCTCCAAGCAACAAAAGCTCCACTTGTCAGCTCAGTGTATTTTACAGCCAAATTTTAAACTTATTTAAAAACAAAAAGAGGGCAAAGAACACACTATGAAGAACTTGATAATATTGCGGCAACAAGCCTCTTCCAAAGCAAACCACCTAAAGACTGGTGCATGTTCTAAAGGTTATTAATGTTGTGATTAAATCTTAAATGTTATGCTCCATGCTAGAGTGCATCAGCAGTTTAAGCAAACAAACCACTACTAGGCTCTATGAGATCATCATTCAGGTTCTCAGCAATATTCTTATTTATAAGAGCAAAAGCAGAAAACCCCAGTTAAATTCTGCATGCAATGAGATTATATAACATGGCAAAACCATTTCATGAAGATTAACTTTAAAAAAAGTTCAAGTTCTGAAAAGACCATATAATCTGGAGTTCCTCCCGACCACACACATACAATGACGACTTACGTAACTCTAGTCATATTACTTTGAAAATGCTAAATCATATCCTCTGCAGATTGTTTCCTGATAAGGATTCCTTCCAAATAAATGTAACTTAGCAAGAAGCAAAGGCGCACCATTAATTTCATCCATACATTATAATTTCCTCCACAGCTAGGCGCAAATTTTTTGGACGGGGGGGATGGGGGGACTTAACAGCCACATTTTCTGAGAGCTATGTAGAATGCCAAATTGCACTACAGAAAAATGAAACAGAACAACGGGAAAAGGTCCCATCAGTCAATTAAAACTCCACCACAAGACAAAGCCCTCTGTTCTCAATGCGCTCACCATTATTCCTTTGCCAAGCAGCTTCTGTATACAGTGACAGGTAGACAAAGCAGGCCTTTTTCCTACCCAAGGGTGATTATCCAATATTCTTCTTTAGAGTAGACCCATTGAAATTAATGAACTTCAGCCTGCTAATTTCAATGGGTCTACTCCAAGTATGGCCAGAGTTCTATATCCTCCTCCTGACTTACCTGCAGAACTACACTTCTAGATTTCGGCTTGCATTGCAAACTGCAGACAAATCTTGGGGGGAACAAGTACTGAAAGGGAAAATCTGTGGAAAGCATTCTGCTTTTCCCTCAGCCCCACAACAGGTGAAGAACTGAAAGGGGTCCTAGATACTGCCACCCCCATCAGCCAGGTCCAATAGAAGTTTCCAAAGTGGAGATCACCTTCTGTTCAGCAGGGCTTAATAAGAAAATGACACTGCAACTAGGACAGGATTATTTTGTCCTATCAATCAGCACTACAACATCCCACTGGGAAACCATTTTTTCTTTCCCCATCTCGCACATATGCTTCAAATGCATAGGCTCAGAGGTTTTCTCACATCATTTCACCCATTTCTTTCCCAAGTCCCTGAAACTCCATTAATTTTCATTTCCTTCCATACAGGTGACTATTTTCCTCTTCCTCTTTTTACTTTAGCCTGTGCCATCATTTCTCTCTTCCCAACCTGCTTGTTTTTTGTTTTGATTTTAATGCCAGTGTAAACCACAAGAGTCATCAAGTTCTCCCAACCCCATCATTTCTTGGTGCCATATACTAAGCCCCCTCTGACATTTTTGGACCCCTTCCTGATCTCGGTGCTTCACAATTCCTGACTAGATCTGAATTTCATATCTTACAACCGACTTATACATACAAATGTGCACACACCTCATTCTAGGTAGTAACGCATCTCCAGATCCTACTGCCCCTTATCCTCTCCGATCTCAATTATTGACTGCAAAGGCCTATGAGATACTCTATAACCCCAGATACATTCTTGGAGAACCACCAGGGGTTCCCTACTGTCACCACTCCAATGAAGGAGGGGGAATCCCATCCCCCTCTCCACTAACACAAGACCTCAGAACTCAGTCTCCCATTGCACAGACAGATCCCCAAAAACAACCCACACCCTAAACATCCCCTTACTTATAAAACCACACAGGTGCTATATAGGGAAACCACCTGGGAAGAGGTGTTTCTTTTTGAGCTCCCAAACTCCAGTGCAAGAAGGTGGAAGGCCTTGAGGTTGCAGGCCAGAGCCACCACCTCCCAACTGAAGGTGGGGCCACAGCCCCCCACCCTTTGGCAGAGATCTCTCCCCACCTCCATCTCCCATTTAAAAAGCCAAACCCTCAAGACACCCTCCTTATCCCAGTATCCTAAATCCCCACCTCTCTTGTAGATTTATAAAATGTGCTGGTGTTGGTAGGAAAACCACCTGGGGGCTCCTTGGCAACCCCCAAACTCCGGTGCAAGGGGGCTTGAAATCTCTTCCTAAAGTGTCATCCCAGAGCACCCCCACCTGCAAGTGGGACCCCTCCCCTTATTTATAAAATGCAATGGTGTAGATAGGGAAGCCACCTGGGGGATCGTTAGCAACATCCAAACTCCTGCGCAAGGGAGCTTGAAATCTCCCCTTAAGGTCCCATCTCAGATCCGCCCCACCTACAAGTGGGACCCCTCCCCTTATTTATAAAATGCATAGGTGCAGATAGGGAAGCCACCTGGGGGATCGTTAGCAACATCCAAACTCCTGCGCAAGGGAGCTTGAAATCTCCCCTTAAGGCCCCATCCCAGATCCGCCCCACCTACAAGTGGGACCCCTCCCCTTATTTATAAAATGCATAGGTGCAGATAGGGAAACCACCAGGGGGATCCTCAGCAACATCCAAACTCCTGCGCAAGGGGGCCTGAAGTCTCTCCCTAAGGGCTCATCCTAGAGCCCCCCCACCTGCAAATGGGGCCCACCACCCCTTTAACCCTTGCGTGTGCGCGCGCGCTTCCCCCCTTCAAGCCCCCTCCCCGAGCCCCCCGCTTCCCCACATGTCCCTTCCCGGCCCCCGTACCTGGCCGCAACGGCTCGGTGATGCTAAGTACCAGGAGGAAGAGGAGGAGGAAGGTGCCGCTGTCTGCCTTGGGCACCATTTATCCTCCGTTCATCCTCCCCCAGCGCAGCAACGTAAACCCCCCCGCGGGAGGGGGGCGGTGAGGGGAAAGGAAAAATAAAAACAACAAAAAAGGCGTCGGAGGCGGCCTCCGCTTCTCCGTCACAGCCCCGGGAGCGAAGCGGGAGGCGGGGAGGGGGAGGAATCCGGAGAGCTCGCCAAGGCGCGGGGGCCGTTCAGCCCGCCTGGCTCGGCTGACTGGCTGTCGCTGCACGCACAAGATGGCGGCCGCGTCTCCCCTGCTCCTCCTGAGGCGCCGCCCCCTCTCCCTCCTTCGCCGCCGCGCGCCTCGCAGCCAATAGGGAGGCGGGGGCGGGGCCTCGGAGGCGGAGCGATCTGCATAGGCGCATGGGGTAATAAGGAGCGCGTAGTTCTCGCTGTGAAGGAGCCTTAGGAGCGGAGCGGGGGGGGGGGGGAGGCGAGGAGGCTCCGCCCACACGCATGCGCGATCGAGCGAGCGCGCCTCCCTGAGTTTGCGAAGCATATGGAATGCACCGTTGAGTTCAATGGGGTTAATCCCTTCCAGGTATGCTGGGGTGCGGCTGTTTGGACCACTTATAAACGTCATCTCTCCAACTCCTCGAAAGATTCCAACAGTGCTATCTGCGAAAAAAATTGCACATCAGTTGGGAAGACAGAAATTGTACTAAAGTAATTTGGATGGATCACTGCAGATGGTGACAGCAGTCACGAAATTAAGACACCTGCTTCTTGGGAGAAAAACAATGACAAACCTAGACAGCATCTTTAAAAGCAGAGACATCACCTTGCCGACAAAGGTCCGTATAGTTAAAGCTATGGTTTTCCCAGTAGTGATGTATGGAAGTGAGAGCTGGACCATAAAGAAGGCTGATCGCCGAAGAATTGATGCTTCTGAATTATGGTGCTGGAGGAGACTCTTGAGAGTCCCATGGACTGCAAGAAGATCAAACCTATCCATTCTTAAGGAAATCAGCCCTGAGTGCTCACTGTAAGGACACATCCTGAAGCTGAGACTCCAATACTTTGGCCACCTCATGAGAAGAGAAGACTCCCTGGAAAAGACCCTGATGTTGGGAAAGATGGAGGGCACAAGGAGAAGGGGACAGAGGACGAGATGGTTGGACAGTGTTCTCAAAGCTACCAGCATGAGTTTGACCAAACTGCGGGAGGCAGTGGAAGACAGAAGTGCCTGGCGTGCTCTGGTCCATGGGGTCACGAAGAGTCGGACATGACTAAACAACTAAACAACAACAACAATTTGGTTGGATTTGTAATAATTTGGAAAATTAATAAAAATAATTGAACTGCAGAGTGTTTGAGGACCGGAACATTGGCAGGGAAACCAAAATGCTCGTTTACAAAGATATTGTACATACCTTACTGTATGCTTGTGAAACATGGACCACTTATAAACGCCTTCTCCAGCTCCTCGAAAGTTTCCATCAACAGTGTGTCCAAAACTTTTTACACATTACTTGTGAAGACAGGCAAACTAATGCCAGTGTAGTGGAAGAAGCAAAGATTACCTGTGACAAAGCAATGATTCTTCAATATCAACTTCGTTGGACTGGTTATGTTGTGTGGATGCCTTATATAATGTTATATTTATTTATTTTAATTGAAAAATAAAGAAGTTTTTAAAGAAGAAAAAAAGTGGTAGTTATATGATTATCCTTCTCCTCATTTAATCCCACAACTACCCTGCGAGGTACCGTATTTTTCGCTCTATAACACACACCCCACCATAACACGCACGTAGTTTTTAGAGGAGGAAAATCCGTAGGCATGCCACCCGTAGGCATTCCCTCCATAACACGCACAGACATTTCCCCTTCCTTTTTAGGAGGAAAAAAGTGAGTGTTATGGTGCAAAAAATACGGTAGGTTAGGCTGAGAGAGTGACCGGCCCAAGGTCACCCAGTGAGCTTCATGGTTGTGCGGGGATTCGAACTCTAGACTCCTAGTTCCTAGTCTTGACAATCTAACCACTGCACCTCACTGACATCAAGCAGGTGCCTTTCACTGCACTCTTCCTAGAGCACCTGCTGTTAAGTTGTGAGTGAACATATCAGACGACACAGCAATTCTTCAAACAGCTCTTGTTTATTCACAGGCCAGAACAGAACTGAACTGAAGGGTTCAGTCAGCCTGCTTATATAGAGGTCCAGTACAACGTTACTGTAACAAATTTCTAAAACTATCCAATCACTGAACGTCACTTTCGATCCCTTATTTGCATAACTATCTACAGTATCCCCCTGCTGGCCCAGGGTGAGAACTTCAGTACATAACACAATCCAATACCTCAAGGACAATAATGATTGTTGTTACCAAACGAGAGTAGCCAAAGCAAACCTGCGTGACCCAACTGCAGAATACAGTGGTACTTTGGGTTAAGAACTTAATTCGTTCTGGAGGTCCGTTCTTAACCTGAAACTGTTCTTAACCTGAAGCACCACTTTAGCTAATGGGGCCTCGTGCTGCCGCCGCGCCACTGGAGCACGATTTCTGTTCTCATCCTGAAGCAAAGTTCTTAACCTGAGGTACTATTTCTGCGTTAATCTGTAACCTGAAGCATCTGAAACCTGAAGCATCTGTAACCCGAGGTACCACTGTACTTGGCATGACGCTCATTCGTGATTTAGGAAATCAGGAAGTTCTCCGATGCCTTTGTAACTCTCACAGATACGAATTCTCTTTGAAGGCCATGCATTGTCCTTCTCTGTAGAGAACTTTCTTCTTCCTCTTCTTCTTTTCTACAAAGAGGACGGACTTATGCTTTGTTTCCTTCTTACAATCGCCTTTTTACCAAGGCTGCGGAAACCATGTCAGGGGGGAGAAGCCACCTCCTCGACCTCTTAGGGTTCAGTCAGCCTGCTTATATAGAGCTCCACTAGAACGCAGCAGTAACCATTTTCTGTAACTATCCAATCACTGAACGTCACTTTCGATCCCTTATTTGCATATGTGGACCTGAGTGAAAACTATCTACAGTATCCCCCTGCTGGCCCAGGGTGAGAACTTCAGTACATAACACATGCTTAATACCATTTTTGTGTAGACAAGCCTACTCATATATCTTGAATGTTGACGTGTGCCTTTCTAGTTTATTGTTGATTTCAATCATTTTGAAATACTTTTAACTGGCTGTTTTTGACAGTTTTTACTGATGCAGTTTTATTGTTTTATTCTTTTGGTAAATGCTTTGAGGCTTTTTACAATCAAGCAGCTTGAAATAAAGAAAGATGGTCTAGTACAGTGATTAGAGCAGGGGTGTGGGACCTTTTCCAGCCTGAGGGCTGCATTCTATTGTAGGCAACCTTTCAGAGGGCCACATAGTTAAGCTATGGAACTCAATCCCACTTGATGTAGCGTCTGCCACCAATTCAGATGGCTTTAAAAGAAGGTTAGACAGATTCATGGAGGGAAAGGCTATCAGCGGCTAGAAGCCACAGTGACTATGCTCTGCCTCCATAGCTGGAAGCTGTAATGCTTCTTTGATACCAGTTGCTGGAAACTCTGGGAGAGGAAAGTGCTTTTAATCTGTGTATGAGCTGGATGGGTGATAGTTGCAAGAGGCAAAGTACCAGGGGTGAGAGGTTGTGAAATTCTACAAACAGGTGCTCACAACATCCAAGGGTTTCACAGAGCCCCAGGGCCCTTCCAGATGGCATGTTTTATTTGTTGAGCATTCACCCTAATTTGTTGGAAGGGGGGGGTTAGACAATGTTGCGTCAAAGCAAGTGTTACTCCACACTTTGCAGGGCATTTCCCCATTTCCTTATTGCAAAAAGTCTGATCTTTTGGGGAAGTGGGTTTTATCTCCCAGTCAACCATCTTATTGTTATTTCTTACTATGTATTTATATCGTGCCCAGCGCAGCAAGTCTACTGCAAAACAAAGCAAAAACAATACAAAATGAATTACAATTTAAACATGCCATCAGAGCCTTTCTAAAATGCAATTGCATTTTCCTGACTCCCCCCCCCCTTAACTCGTAGAAGGATTCCTTGCTCTTCCCACAGGGTGGGGGTGGGGAATTATCCTTTGCTTATTTCCATATGATTGATATAAATTGAGCCAAACTTTGTACAGTTTCCCATGCTTAATGCTGTGAAAACGGCTCCCGGCTCTTAAAATATATGGGTTGTATCCAATGACAGCCCTACTCAGAGTAGACCCACTGCCATTATAGGAAACAGAACAATTAATGAGTATAATGTAGTTGGATAAAATCCTATATACTGTATATATGCCCTGGTGCAGCCTGGCAAGACATAGGAAGCTGTCTCAGAAAGACTCAAAGATCTAGCCTTGTATTGTCTTCACAAACCAGCAGTCTCAAGGATTTCAGCTGCAGCTGCAGCGCCAGATTTAGGGCAGTGCAAAATAACAACAACCTATACAGTGGTACCTCGGGTTAAGAACTTAATTCGTTCTGGAGGTCCGTTCTTAACCTGAAACTGTTCTTAACCTGAGGTACCACTTTAGCTAATGGGGCCTCGTGCTGCCGCCGCACGATTTCTGTTCTCATCCTGAGGTAAAGTTCTTAACCTGAGGTACTATTTCTGGGTTAGTGGAGTCTGTAACCTGAAGCGTCTGTAACCCAAGGTACCACTGTATTTACACAGGTACCTACTAGAAGATTCATGAAAAAGCAACTGTACCAAAAGAATTATTGTGAAAATAAGAAATATTTAGGGGAGGGCTGCCAAATTTTGTCCTGCCTCAGGGAACCATATTACCAAATTTATCTCTCCCCCCTCCCCCATGCTACCTGTGAAACAAGAGTCAGAGGGGGAGAGAGTAGAGGCTGTGACATTAAGATATGAGAGTGATTGTTATGTACTGAGTTGAATAGGATCCAAAATGCAGCAGTCTGATTGGTCCTAGAATAATAGGATCCAAAATGCAGCAGTCTGATTGGTCCTAGAACAATAGGATTCAGAATGCAGCAGTCTGATTGGTCCTAGAACAATGCAGCAGTATGATTGGTCTGCAGGAGCCACCCAATCCAGCTCCAGGTGGAAGTGAATCCACAACCTGATTGGCCCACAGGAGAATTCCGGAATTAGCCAATCACGTGCAGCCCATTGTGTAAATAATGTATATAAAGCAGATACTTTGAGGGGACTTTCATTCCTCCTCACCACTATGAGCTGAATAAAGAGCATGAAATCCACTCTCGACTCTGAGTGTATTTCAGTGATGGAGGTGAATTAGTTAAACAAATTACCCAATCAGAACCCGGGGGGGTGGAGTCAGAGGGACTATAAAACCAGCTCTGGGAGGGGCGAAAGCGGAGTTCGTTGGGAGTTGGGTGGTTGGTTGGAGTGGGAGTGAATTGGGATAGAGTCTGTGGGTAGGTTGAGTTAGTGTAGCAAAATAAGCTGAGTCAGGAACAGTTAGGAGCTAGGAAGACAAGTAAATATCTGAGAGGTGGTTTAGTGAGTGAGAGCAGGTAGCAGAAGTTATAGGTCTGGATAGGCACCCCATAATTGTAATTGACTGATGCCATTTATGAAACCACACGCTTGTTAAACTACAATAAATAAACAGAAGTTTATGTTCCAATTTAACCCTGACTGGACTCAGTATTGTCCCAGGTAGGGCCTGGATGGTGGCAGCGAGAAATCAAGTGGTGGCACGGGGATCAATAGACGGTGAAACGTCCGGGGACCCTGTGTGATCGCCATTGCCTGCCTTTTGAATCAAACGTCTTAAGTCACAGGTGTCAGGCCCACGCCCCCAGTGCTGCCTGCCAGCACCGAGGCAAAGAACGACAAAGCGGTTGTTTGTGGTTTGCATTTCTCAGAGATGTAGCTGAGATACCTGCTATTCCTGTGGTTTCTGCAGATCTTCCCACAATGTGAAGGGGGTTAACACCTGGTTATTGGCAAAAAGCCAATAAAGTACAGGAGACCAGGTGGGGGGATGTGTTCGGAGGTGAGAATTTGTTTTAACGGTTTGCTCACATCGCATAGATAGATTGGGACAGCATTGCAATTATCAACACACATCTCCATGTGTTGCCTTTCGGCTAGCTCTCCTATTTTCTCTCTGCAAGTACGTTGCTCTGTCCCAGCTCCTGCCAACCTAGCAGTTCGAAAGCATGCCAATGCAAGTAGATAAATTGGTACCACTGTGGCGGGAAGGTAAACGGCATTTCTGTTGGCCCTGGTATCCGTCACGGTGTTCCTTTGTGCCCGAAGCGGTTTAGTTATGCTGGCCACATGACCCGGGAAGCTGTCTGTGGACAAACGCCGGCTCCCTTGGCCTGAAAGCGAGATGGGCGCCGCAACCCCGTAGTCGCCTTTGACTGGACTTAACCATCCAGATTTCTTTACCTTTCCCCCTTTTTTCCTTGTGCATCATCTGGGACGTGGGTGGTGCTGTGGTCTACACTACTGAGACTCTTGGGCTTGCCGATCGGAAGGTCGGCGGTTTGAATCCCAGTGATGGAGTGAGTTCCCATTGCTTTGTCCCAGCTCCTGCCAACCTAGCAGTTTGAAAGCACACCAGTGCAAGTAGATAAATAGGTACTGCTGTGGTGGGAAGGTAAACTCTGGTTTCCACCACAGTGTTTCATTGCGCCAGAAGTGGTTTAGTCCTATTGGCTACATGACCTGGAAAGCTGTCTGTGGACAAATGCCAGCTCCCTTGGCTTGAAAAGCGAGATGAGCGTCGCAACCCCATCGTCACCTTTGACTGGACGTAACCATCCAAGGGTCCTTTACCTTTACCTTTACGTAGGCAAATGATTTTGGCATGCCCTACTATCTTCTTTTGGAGTGGCTTTCCTTGAAGTTCCATCGTATGTAATAGAATTTGCACAACATTCTCTTGAAATTGTTTTTTCAGTATCAACCTTGGATCGAGCAGAACAACTCCTCGGCATTCTTCCCTAGCACCTTCTCCAAAGTGGTCCTAAGAGCCAATCCTTGGTGGCCGACTCATCTCCTTTCACTTTGCTTGGCTCCAATCAGCACAAAAGGCAAGGAAGCCTCTTCTTAGTGGCTAAAAAGCTTCCCTTTCATGCTGATTGGGCAGCTCTAGGACACTGTTCTTAGGCCTGTGCCGTTTCCCTCTGACTGATGATTCCTGGTTATAAGGAACTGGAGGGGAGCTGGCCTAACAGCAATCTGCTCTTAATGATATGCCCCTCATTGCACAGTGAGACGGAAAGAGGTCGAGGAGGTGGCTTCTCCCCCCTGACGTGGTTTCCGCAGCCTTGGTAAGAAGGCGATTGTAAGAAGGAAACAAAGCATAAGTCCGTCCCCTTTGTAGAAAAGAAGAAGAGGAAGAAGAAAGTTCTCTACAGAGAAGGACAATGCATGGCCTTCAAAGAGAATTCGTATCTGTGAGAGTTACAAAGGCATCGGAGAACTTCCTGATTTCCTAAATCACGAATGAGCTTCATGCCAAGTACAGTGGTACCTCAGGTTACAGATGCTTCAGGTTTCAGATGCTTCAGGTTACAGACTAACGCAGAAATAGTACCTCAGGTTAAGAACTTTGCTTCAGGATGAGAACAGAAATCGTGCTCCAGCGGCGCGGCGGCAGCACGAGGCCCCATTAGCTAAAGTGGTGCTTCAGGTTAAGAACAGTTTCAGGTTAAGAACGGACCTCCAGAACGAATTAAGTTCTTAACCCAAAGTACCACTGTATTCTGCAGTTGGGTCACGCAGGTTTGGTTTGGCTATTCTCGTTTGGTAACAACAATCATTATTGTCCTTGAGATATTGGATTGTGTTATGTACTGAAGTTCTCGCCCTGGGCCAGCAGGGGGATACTGTAGATAGTTATGCAAATAAGGGATCGAAAGTGACGTTCCGTGATTGGATAGTTTTAGAAATTTGTTACAGTAACGTTGTACTGGACCTCTATATAAGCAGGCTGACTGAACCCTTCAGTTCAGTTCTGTTCTGGCCTGTGAATAAACAAGAGCTGTTTGAAGAATGGCTGTGTCGTCTGATATGTTCACCCACAACTTAACAGATTGGATCCAAATACTGGTTCTCCTTGGTGTAGAGCCAATCAAGGCAGTGATGGCCTCCAAGGTGGGCGGCTTTAGAAGAGGGTTCAACAGATTCATGGAGAAGAGGGCTTTCAATAGGTCATTATGGCTATGCTTGTCTCCACAGTTGGAGGCAGCGATGCTTCTGAATATCAGCTACTAGATCCCACAGGAGGGGAGAGGGATCTTGTGTTTGAATCCTGCTTATGAGCTTCCCACAGGCATCTGGTTGGCCACTGTGAGAACAGGATCCTGGATGAGATGGACCACTGGCCTGACCCAACAGGCTCTTACATTCTTCTGAGTCCATTTCCTCTGCATCATCCCTTCAATTATAATTGGAAAAAAGCAGGGATTTCTCACCTACGAGAAATGGAAACAGATACTTGAATTCCCAGCAAAGGTGCAGGGATGAGGGATAAAATCCTGTTGTGTTATTTCATTTCTCACACCCACTCGCTCTGCTTCCCTATCCATAGCAAGACCCCACATATGGGGACAGGAGACACCGAAAAGGGATACAGTGGTACCTTGGGTCTCAAACACCTTGGTACACAAATAACTTGAAATCTCAACACTGAAAACCCGGAAACAAGTGTTCCGGTTTGTGAACTTTTTTTGGAAGCCGAACATGCTCCGTTTTGAGTGCCACACTTCCGTTTTGTGTGTTACGCTGAGGTCTGTCTGTTATTGCTAGTTGTGTTTTCGTTTTTGCGGTTTTTTTGTTATTGTGACAGTGTGGAACCCAGTTAGGCTTCTGATTGATTGATTGATTGATTGATTGCGTGGCTGCAGTACATTGTTTATTGCTTTCATTTTATGGATCTATGGTCTCATTAGATAGTAAAATTCATCTTAAATTGCTGTTTTAAGGGTTGTTTTCTGGAACAGATGAATCCATTTTGCACTACTTTCTATGTGCCTTGGTTTTGGAATGCTTTGGTTTTGGAACGGACTTCCGGAACGGATTAAGTTTGAGAACCAAGGTACCACTGTGCTAAAATGTTGTTTGGTTTGCACTCTAGCCTCAAAAGGATGGAATTGTTCTATATAAAGCCAAGGCTTTACATTAAAATCAATGTTCATAGCACCCATTGCATTAAATAGCAGCTAGTAAGATGAGACACATAGTATTTGGTGGAAATCAAACTGCAGCAGAATGGATACAATGCTGATTGTGACGAATACAGGTCAGCATTGGAATTCTTACATGCTTATTATCCAGAGTTATGGGTAGCTGCTTCTGAGCTTCCGAAAGGCATCCGGTTGGTCACTATAGGAGATAGGATGCTGTCCTAGATGGGTCTTTGGTCTGATCTAGCAGGCACATTCTGCCCCGTGGAATTAGCTGCGATTGTTTGGGGATGTCAATGGGCAACGATAGTGTACAATTTTCATTTGAGCCCCTGAATCACATGTTCATGCTCCTTATGACCTCAGCTGATGACATCAGGTATTCAAAACAGTGCTTGAGAAACCAGGCAGTATCTCCAATCTCCCACCCCAATGATGACCACCACACAGCCGGAAGGAATGCACCACTAAATTACACTCAGATGGGAGGTGGGTGTTCCCACCCTTTGCGTCATGGATGATGCAGCTGTGCTTAAGAAGAAAGGTTATATTTTGGGGCATACTCTGGGCGAGAGTTCCTTTGCCAAAGTGAAATCCGCCTACTCGGAGCGCCTGAAATTCAACGTGGCCGTGAAAATCACAGACCGGAGGAAAGTCCCAAACGAGTTCCTGGAAAAATTCCTCCCCCGAGAGTTGGATATCTTGTCGATGGTGAACCACTGCTCCATCGTCAAAATCTACGAGATCTTTGAGACGTCCGGCAAGGTTTACATCGTGATGGAGCTCTGTGTGCAGGGAGACCTCTTGGAGTTCATCAAGAGCAACCATGGTCTGCCAGAGGAAGTTGCCTGCCGGATGTTCCGCCAGCTGTGCTGCGCCGTCAAATATTGCCATGATTTAGACGTGGTGCACAGGGACCTGAAATGCGACAACGTCCTCCTGGACAAAGAGATGAACGTCAAGCTGTCGGATTTCGGGTTTTCCAAGCGGTGCTTCCGGGACGGGAGCGGGAAAATCATCCCCAGCCAGACTTTCTGTGGCTCTGCAGCTTATGCCGCTCCTGAGGTCATCCAAGGTATCCCTTACCACCCCAAAATTTATGACATGTGGAGCTTGGGCGTCATCCTGTATGTCATGGTCTCTGGGTACATGCCCTATGATGACTCCAACGTCAAGAGGATGCTGCGACTGCAGAAGGAACACAGAGTGCTCTTCCCAGATTCCCTGAGCATGGAATGCAAAGACCTTATTTTCCGCATGCTGCAGCCTGACGTTTCTCACCGACTACGGATTGAAGATGTTTTGAACCACCCCTGGGTGCAAGGGAAGCGCCTGAAGGCCCGCATCTTGTAAGAGTAGCTAGCTGGTAAAGGGGAAACATGAACGATCTTGCTTTTGCAGAGTACAGTAAATGTGAATTCCTTTTCCGTAAGCTCCACTGCACTGCTCTCCTTATGAGATCAGGATATTATTTACATGGTTGTTTGTTTGTTTGTTTGTTTGTTTGTTTGTTTACTTTGTGCATTCCTACTTAGGTTTTCATTATTTACATTTCGGCTTATACCAGCTTTCTCCTAAAGCACACCGGAAAAAACAGCTGGCTTACTAAGATATAAGGCTTCAAAGGAAAGGGGAATGGGGAGGGTAGAAGAAAAATGAGCACTTTCAGCAACAACTCTTTCATTAGCGTTACTGAAATATACTCGGAGTCAAGAGTGGATTTCATGCTCTTTATTCAGCTCATAGTGGTGAGGAGGAATGAAAGTTCCCCCAAAGTATCTACTTTATATACATTATTTACACAATGGGCTGCACGTGATTGGCTAATTCCGGGATTCTCCTGTAGGCCAATCAGGTTGTGGATTCACTTCCATCTGGAGCTGGATTGGGTGGCTCCTGAGGACCAATCATACTGCTGCATTGTTCTAGAACCAATCAGACTGCTGCATTCTGAATCCTATTCAACTCAGTACATAAGTTACAGAATGAAGTTAAGCTATTGATCGGGTAGAATGGAGGGTAAGAATTAATAGTAGTGGGTTCCAGCAAAGCTAACAGAGGGGGGTTTGCTGCTTTCATATGATGCAGCTGGTTCCAGCAGAGCCAATGGAAGCAGCTCTGAAAAAGGAGAGGGGACTTTCCACTTCCCCCTTCCCTCCACCAATTGCAGCCAGGTAGATGGGCTGTGGATTAAACTATTCTAGTCCTTTCAGACCATGTGGTCTGAACGGTTGTGAGCTATTATATGCACGAAGGTCATCCTTCTTTCCTTTTTAAACTTTCTACTACCATAATTTTTAGCTGGCCCTATTCTGTTAATTTGAATGTTCCATTTCATCTTATTGCAATCAGATTTGGGTAACAATAAAATTTATTACCTGCCCTTTATCCTAAGATCCTGGGGCAGGATTCCACAATTTAAAATGCAACTTTAAAAACAGATTTAATACTTATTGTTGCAAAAAAATAAAATAATGTAACCACAAAAATAGGATGGAAAATATGCATCTTAAGTGTCAAAGGCCAGCGAATTACAATCAAGCAGTATATAAATGTTAGCTAAATAAGTAAACCCATTTAGTGGTGGCTGGTGCCCATTGGGACATGTGGGGCAGCAGGCAGGGAGGTCGCCAGTAGGTGGCATCAAAGCCAACTCCGTCTAGTTTGGTCCCTATCTTCCTCCTTGCCTTGTTATAGAAGGGCAACAGTGAGACGACAGAAGCAAAAAATGTGCATTTGTTGCTCCACCCACTTGTGCCTCTGGCCCTGCCCGCCACTGGAATGTTGTGGCCCTCAGAAAGTTTCGCAGAAGGGAACATGGCCCTTGGGTTGAGAAAGCTTCCCTACCTCTACTATAGACCTTGAGAGACAGCCACCTCATGCTTAGCCAGGAAACAAGGAAGAAGTATATTGGGAATAGGAGTTTCCAGGTACATAATACATAAATTATTGTTGTTGTTGTTATTATTATTATTATTATTATTATTATTATTATTATTTATTAATACCCTGCCCATCTGGCTGGGTTTCCCCAGCCACTCTGGGTGGCTTCCAACAGAATATTAAAAATACAACAAAACATCAAACATTAAAAACTTCCCAATACAGGGCTGCCTTCAGATGTCTTCTAAAATTCAGGTAGTTGTTTATTTCCTTGACATCTGACAGGAGGGCGTTCCACAGGGCGGGCACCACTACCAAGAAGGCCCTCTGCCTGATCCCCTCTAACCTCACTTCTCACAGTGAGGGAACTGCCAGCCCTCGGAGCTGGACCTCAGTGTCCGGGCAGAACGAGGGGGGTGGAGATGCTCCTTCAGGTATACTGGGCCATTTGGGGCTTTAGAGGTCAGCACCAACACTTTGAATTGTGCTCGGAAACATACTGGGAGCCAATGTAGGTCCTGTGTTATATGGTCTCGGCGGCCACTCCCAGTCACCATTCTAGCTGCCGCATTCTGGATTAGTTGCAGTTTCCGGGTCACCTTCAAAGGTAGAGCGCATTGCAGTAGTCCAAGCTACATAGCACACATAGACAGTTGCCTTATCAAAGGTCAGGTACTTTGCCTACCCAGCCCTATATTGTCTGCTCTGGTTGACAGCAGCTCTTCAGAGTCTCAGGCAAAAGCAGTGGAGGCATCCCCTCCCCCCACCCCATTTGTAGTTTAGGCAAGTTTCTCCGCAAACCCCTCTCTGTCCTCCGTCCAGCAGACCAAGGTCTGTGATCAGAGTTCAAGGGCACTTTTCCAGGTGAGCAAACTCACCTGGCGGTTTTAAGCAGTGGTGGTGAGGGGTTACGGCCTGAAGAGAGGAGTGTCACCTGGGGAGAATTCCAAGGGGTCAGGCACGGAGGCTTAGGGCTGAATCACACGTTATGAAATCATTAAACGTATCCTAAGAACAGAGCATTTCCATGTGCTACTCTGGTTTCACCAGAAGCGGCTTAGTCATGCTGGCCACATGACCCGGAAAAACTGTCTGCGGACAAACGTTGGCTGCCTCGGCCAGTAAAGCGAGATGAGCGCCGCAACCCCAGAGTCGTTCGCGACTGGACTTAACTGTCAGGGGTCCTTTACCTTTACCTTTTAAGAACATAAAACAGCAAAATGAAACAGCAGAGGTACAAAGATACGGGGGAAGAATAAATAAAGATGGCCTTTGTAGAATTACAGAGATGGAAGGGGTCTGCCAAGGGTCACCAAGCCCAAGCCCTGAAATGCAGAAATCACCTTGCTAGGGTGTCAAGAAACACCTGGGAACTAAAAAGCATGTTTGTTTACCGCACTCCCTTTTCTGCCGTTGGGTTCTGAGACATGGGCCGTTCCAAAGTCACTTGGTCCCACGCATAGCTTTGGGTGGGGGCTTGAAAAGAGGAAGTGTGTCTCTTAATGGTCTAACCACTATTCCACACTCCTCCTCCTCTCGTGCTACTTCTTCCTGATTTTGACAGCCCAGGACTCAGTTTATTACATCGTGTGTGTGTGTAAACAGAGAACAACCTTACATTTACAGAGCAAAATGTCTTCTTGAATTATATACCCAGCATATAGGTAAAGGGACTCCTGACCATTAGGTCCAGTCGTGGCCGACTCTGGGGTTGCGGCGCTCATCTCGCTTTACTGGCCGAGGGAGCCGGCGTACAGCTTCTGGGTCATGTGGCCAGCACGACTAAGCCGCTTCTGGCGAACCAGAGCAGCGCACGGAAATGCCATTTACCTTCCCACCAGAGCGGTACCTATTTATCTACTTGCACTTTGACGTGCTTTCGAACTGCTAAGTTGGCAGGAGCAGCGACCGAGCAACAGGAGCTCACCCCGTCGCAGAGATTTGAACCACAGACCTTCTGATCGGCAAGCCCTAGGCTCTGTGGTTTAACCCACAGCGCCACCCGCGTCCCCTTATTATTTATTATGTAGTGTGTGTGTGTGTAAACAGAGAACAACCTTACATTTACAGAGCAAAATGTCCTCTTGAATTATATACCCAGCATATAGAACCTTACAAAAGGACAATACAAGTAGACTCTCTGTGCCCTTATCACAGCAAAAAGACTGATACTGATGAATCGGAAAAATAAAAATGCGGCTTCCTTCTACAATTGGATTGAAGATTTATACAAACTCGCAACATATAAACAACTTGCATATAAACGCAGATTTGCCTTGGACAAATTCAATGATATTTGGAATCCATTCTTACAAATACTGTAATAGGTTAAGATCTGGTGAATAACAACCTTGTAAAGGTTACAGTTTTGGGGTTCCCCCCTCCCCTCTTTATTTTCCCTTCTACACAGGTTCTGCTTCTCTTTTTCTTTCTCTTTTATTTATGTCTCACCATGTTTAGTGCAGATATAATTATGCCCTTTTTGAAGGTTCAGTAAAGATGTTTAAAATCTAAAAAAAATAAAACAAGAGAGTGGGTTTCAGTACAGCTCTCAATTTGATTCAAGGTTCTTCTGAAAGATCTTCCCAAAACTTAATGGAGAAGAAATGTCACCTTTGGCGGGAAAGATCTGGCGCCATCCTTCAGAGGCAGAGCAGTCCTCCTCTTCAAGCAGGGTGGGTGGGTTTTTTTCTTCAAAGGAATCATCTCCCAAGAGCCTTCTGCGATGAATGGAATAGTGGCTCTTATTAATAAGAATTGCCTCCAAACTTCCTTGTTTATCAAAGCTTTGATGTTTTACCAAGGTGCAGTGACACCATTGGAGAGACGCAGCACATCATCTGTAGGCAAGGCACGTTCCATTGACCGTGTTCTCCTTGATTCAAGGGTACCTGAAGACAGGGGAAGGGAGGGCTGTTCTTTCTAAGTGTGTGTCCTTTACTGTATTCTATTTCTTCAAAAGTTTTTGTGTATCATGAGTGGGCCAGGTTGACAAGGAGGAAGTTAGTCAGCAGCGTGATGTGGGGCTATCAGCCTTGACATCAGTCCCATGTTCCTTGTGACCCATAAAAGGTAAAGGGACCCCTGACCATTAGGTCCAGTCATGGCAGACTCTGGGGTTGCGGCGCTCATCTCGCTTTATTGGCCGAGGGAGCCGGCGTACAGCTTCTGGGTCATGTGGCCAGCATGACTAAGCCGCTTCTGGCGAACCAGAGCAGCGCATGGAAACGCTGTTTACCTTCCCGCCGGAGCGGTACCTATTTATCTACTTGCACTTTGACGTGCTTTTGAACTGCTAGGTTGGCAGGAGCAGGGACCGAGCAACGGGAGCTCACCCCGTTGTGGGGATTCGAACCGCCGACCTTCTGATCGGCAAGTCCTAGGCTCTGTGGTTTAACCCACAGTGCCAATCGTGTCCCATAGCTCTGCCTTAATTAAGAACTAGCTGGGAGTGCCCAGGAATTTGTAGAAATCAAAAAAATGTTTTTTTAAAAAATGGATAGTGTAATTTGTCTGTGTGTGGACCCATCACACCAAATAATGGGTCCGCCATCTTGAATCAAAATGGCGCCTGGAATCCAAGTGTAGGCAAACACCACGTTCCCCCTGCCCTTTGGGAACCCGCATGCCAGGTTTGGTAATGATATCCCCAGAGGCAGCCAAATCTATGCCAAAAAGGGCCAAGTCGCTTTACAGTCATATTTTGGTCCACCATCTTGATTCAAGTTGGCACCCGGCATCCAAATGCCACTGCTAACTGCCGCCACCACCTCAGGACCCCTTGTGTCAAGTTTAGTGATGATTTCTCAAGAGGCAGATAGACAACCAACAAACAGGTGGACAGGCAGACCAACCACTCTTCCAAATATTTAGTAGATCCAGTGTTAGTCCCGGGCCCCATCTGCACTGTACATTTAAAGTGGTACCATACCGCTTTAAACATCCACAGTTTCCTGCAAACAATTCTGGGCCCTGCCTTTTGTTCAGGGTGCTGAGAGTTGTTAGGAGACACACACACACCATTCCCCTCCCAGGGTTACAATTCCCAGCATTCCCTTTGGAAGAAGAATGTGCCCTAAGTTTACTTGACATATCCAGACCTATAGTTTTGTAGGGAAAATGTAGCATGGAGCTTTGATCTCCCTCCTGTCTGCAATACATAGGTTGGTCTTTTTGCAAAAAGGCCAACCCTTTTAAAGGCTCCCAGGCTACCTGAAATATCATATCTCCCTACATAAACCTGCCTGGGTGTTGAGATCCTCAGGTAAGCACCTCAGAAGCACCGCTGCTCGTGACAAGAGACAAGAGTCTTTTCTGTTGCTGCCCCATATTGTGGAATTCCCTGTCTGGACAAATGACATTTTAATTGCTGGTTCTAAATGTATGCTATTTGGGGTGGATGAGTTTATTTTTATGGCTTTGGATTTTATATATTGATGTTTTTAAAGTTGCAAGTTGCCATGAATTTCAGTCTGGGAGAAAGGTGGGATATGAAGACATCAAATAAGGAAATAAATAAATAGTCACAAGCCCGTACTTTCAGATGACATGCGGGAATGTTACCTGAACCCTTGGCGTCCCGAATGACTCAGCTCTGACACAAGCCATTGTGACATCACAAAAGAATGCTGAGGGTTCTCCTGCAACATCCCAGGAAGGGGAGCCCCAGGCCATTTCAGATGACCATCCTGGAATGTGCGTGAATCGGAGGGGGGCAGGAGACGGGATGCTCAGCCAACTTGAACATATTGCTTAGGGTCTGCCTCCAGGACTATGGATGATGCTGAAGTTCTTAAAAAGAGAGGCTACATCATGGGGATCAACCTCGGAGAAGGGTCTTACGCCAAGGTGAAATCGGCCTACTCGGATCGGCTGAAGTGCAACGTGGCTGTCAAGATCATCGACAAGAGGAAGGCTCCTCGGGACTTCTTGGAGAGGTTCCTCCCCAGAGAGATAGAGATGCTGGCCAGGGTGAAGCACCCCGGCATCATCAAGACCTATGAGATCTTTGAGACCTCCGACGGCAAAGTCTACATCGTGACGGAACTGGGCGTGCAAGGAGACTTGCTGGAGTTTATCAAGAAGAGAGGAGCCATTCCTGAAGACGTAGCCCGCAAGATGTTCTACCAGCTCGCCAGCGCCATCAAGTACTGCCACGAGCTGGACATTGTCCACCGGGACTTGAAATGCGAGAACCTTCTTCTGGACAAAGAATTCAACATCAAACTGACGGACTTTGGCTTTTCCAAGAGAGTCGCCCGCGACGAAGATGGCAGGGTGGTCCTCAGCAAGACTTTCTGCGGTTCGGCAGCCTACGCGGCCCCGGAAGTGCTGCAAGGCATCCCTTACCAGCCAAAGGTTTACGACATATGGAGCTTGGGGGTGGTCCTGTTCATCATGGTGTGTGGCTCGATGCCTTACGATGACTCGAACATTAAGAAAATGCTCAAGCTACAGAAGGAGCACCGGGTACATTTCCCCCGGTCCAAAGTGCTATCGGTCGAATGCAAAGATCTCATTTACCGCATGCTCCAACCCGACGTCTCCCGCCGACTCTGCATCGATGAGGTTTTAATGCATGTGTGGATGCAGGACCAGAGATCCGCTTCGGACACCACGCTCATGAAGTCGGGGGAATGCTCCCACCACCATAATCAGATAAGGGCCATGTTTGGGAAGGAGTCGTCGGGGCCGGAGCCTTCGGACAACGAGCAAATTCTCCAGGAAGAAAGGCATGCAGACTTGGATGTCCTCTCTGACAAGATGCAAAGGACTTGTCTTTGAAAAATCCAGCAGCCCAGCGACAAGCAGAGGTGAATAGGACAGTGGGTTTCTGTAGCACCGCCAGTTCCAGAGACCTCTTTAAAGACTACGTCCTGAAAACTTTTTTTGGAAAGAGATAAAAACAATTTGGGAGGCATTTTCTTTTCTTTTCTTTTGGTCAACATCAAGTCCTTTCAGATTGTTGTTGGCCACAGGAGCCAACAACATCTGCACCTCTCGACATTTGCAAGATGCACAATGTTGGATGGAGAGGGAATAGATTTTTCTCACCCTTTTTTAATCCTCTATAAACAAACGCACCATGCAGCTTAAAGCGCTCTTATACCACTTCAACAATCATGGAGGGTCCTGGGATCTGTCATTTGCTAAGGATGCCGGGGGGTTAGTTCCGTGAGGTCAGCACCCTTAACCAACAACAGTTCCCAGGATCCTTTGGGGTGGAGAGGAGCCATGACGGTAAAAGTGGCCTAAGAGCGTTTTCAAAATGGGTGGCGTAGATGTGACTTTTGCCATGTCCTGATGAGTCTTGGCCTGATACACCTTCCAGGTTGGTACCTGCTACTCGTGAGATCTAAAACATAGCTTCAAAGAGACCCGCCTGCTGTAGCACCTGCTGTAGTTTTTTTCTGCAATGATGAGCAGCTGCAAACCCTTTGAACTGTCTGCGTCTGTGATGGCAACTTCTGCCACGGAAGGTACACACACATAAGGTATCTGTGCTGAAGTTCCACGTAAGAAATCAGTCCCAGTGAAATTAAGGTTATAGAAAATCCAGATCCAGTAAAACTATAATCTTAAACTCTCTCCCTGTGTTTTGTTTTTAAATGGATTCCTTACTTAGCATGTGCAGGAATTTCAGCTAAATCAGGGGTGATTTTGACTGGCTTCCGGCCAGTTTTCCCCAAACCATGCCCACCTGCTTCTCAGTGGATGTGGCTCGTGTGACATCATCTGATGGGCAGGAAGGCAAGATAAAATCCTGTTGCACATGCCTGCTATCTGGAGGGACCAGGGGCACACAACACAGCCAAACAGTCAGTCGATGAGCAGGGGTTAAATCCTGCTTAGATATTAACCCCCATTCCTGATTCAGCATAGTAGGTAAGGTAAAGGGACCCCGACCATTAGATCCAGTCGTGACCGATTCTGGGGTTGCGGTGCTCATCTCACTTTATTGGCGGAGAGAGCCGGCGTACAGCTTCCGGGTCATGTGGCCAGCATGACTAAGCCACTTCTGGTGAACCAGAGCAGCGCACGGAAATGCTGTTTACCTTCCCGCCGGAGCAGTACCTATTTATCTACTTGCACTTTGACATGCTTTCGAACTGCTAGGTTGGCAGGAGCAGGGACCGAGCAATGAGAGCTCACCCCATCGTGGGGATTTGAACCACCGACCTTCTGATCGGCAAGTCCTAGGCTCTGTGGTTTAACCCACAGCGCCACGCCCTGCTAAAATAATGGGGTTCCCCCCTCTAGTTTAGCAGGGGATTTTGATGCACTCTCCTTCATGAGTCAGGAAGCGGTTGGCCTAGAACCTCCTGTTAAAACTACAGTGCCCAAAATACTTCTGTTGACCACCAGCATTACGCTTTCTACTTCTTAGTTCGGAATAGAATAGTTGCTTTGGAAGATGATACTCAGGCATCCGAACAACATGACCAGTCCAACGAAGTTGGTGTTGAAGAATCATTGCTTCGACACTGGTGATCTTTGCTTCTTCCAGTACACTGGCATTAGTTTGCCTGTCTTCCCAAGTGATTTTTTTCCGGAGACACCGTTGATGGTATCTTTCAAGGAGTTGGAGATGGTGTTTATTATAAGTGGTCCATGTTTCACAAGCATACAGTAAGGCTGGTAGTACAATAGCTTTGTAAACAAGCATTTTGGTTTCCCTGCAAATGTCCCAATCCTCTTACACTCAATTATTTTTATTAATTTTCCAAACTATTACAAATCCAACCAAATTACTTTAATTTAATACAATTTCTTAAAATCAGATTTCCCACTCCTGTTGCAAACATATGTCAATCGTTTCCTCCCATAGCTGCATAATTTCTTATTTAGTGTTTAGTTGTCATCCGTCAGTCTTTGTTACGTCATTCTTGCAGCTGACCACATTTTTCTCCTTACAAACAGTGCCTCTGTTACATCTTATAAGTATAAAATCCACTACATGTGTATAATCCTTCATAAACATTGTTGTTTCAGACCTGGTGTCCTGGGAGAATTAATTACTATCTTCCATTGTCCAGTTCTTTGCAGTGTTTTTCTGGATGTTACAAGGTCCCATTACATTCCTTCCACTGTTCACCAACTAGTGTACAGGCTGCGGCCGTAAATAACTCACAGAGTACATGTCCAGTCTCTGCCATTAAAACTCCACTCTGGAGTTCTTCCTTGGCACACAGTTAAAAACAAAATATTTTCTCAAGTTTGGCCTCTTGCCAGATCTATTCGGCAGCCGTTCATTCTTCTCACTCTGCGTCGCTCCATCACACTCCTGGCCTGATCCAAAAAATAATTTTAAATAAAATCCATTCAACCTCAGTCGAGGGGGGAGGGCATAATAAAGCCTTGTTAAATTCCTTGTTGAGCCTCCCCCCTCTTTTCTGTGGTAACAGACAGAATTATTTCATTATTCAGGGGAGGACAAGAAATAAAACCATTTGAAAACCCTTTGAAAGCACAACGCACCTTGTCCTCCCCTTTCCTTTCCCAGCTGTTGTAAGGATTATCAAGCTTAAAAATAAAATATTTGGATACCTTCAAAGAACCAAGCTCAGTTCTTGCATTAGCTGATTGATTGCAGCCCATTGGCATATAATAATAATAATAATAATAATAATAATAATAATACAGTGGTACCTCGGGTTAAGTACTTAATTCATTCCGGAGGTCCGTTCTTAACCTGAAACTGTTCTTAACCTGAAGCACCACTTTAGCTAATGGGGCCTCCCGCTGCTGCTGCGCCGCCGGAGCACGATTTCTGTTCTTATCCTGAAGCAAAGTTCTTAACCTGAAGCACTATTTCTGGCTTAGTGGAGTGTGCAACCTGAAGCGTATGTAACCTGAGGTACCACTATAATAAATAATAATAATAATAATAATAATAATGTATTATTTGTACCCCGTCCATCTGGCTGGGTTTCCCCAGCCACTCTGGGCTGCTTCCAACAAAGTTTAAAAATACATTAAAAATGTCACACATTAAAAGCTTCCCTAAACAGGGCTGCCTTCAGATGTCTTCCAAATGTCAGGTAGTTGTTTTTCTCTTTGACATCTGGTGGGAGGAAGTTCCATAGGGCAGGCACCACTACCGAGAAGGCCCTCTGCCTGGTTCCCTGTAACTTCACTTCTCGCAGCAAGGGAACCGCCAGAAGGCCCTCAGCGCTGGACCTCAGTGTCCAGGCAGAACGATGGAGGTGGAGACGCTCCTTCAGGTATACTGAACCGAGGCCGTTTAGGGCTTTAAAGGTCAGCACCAACACTTTAAAGCCCTAAGGAGTGACTGCCATTGACTCATGATGCAAGCTGGAAACCCAAACACTCTGCAATCGGGAGAAAGCTGCACACACAGAGCTCAGGCGATGCTGGATTTCGGTATCTGCATGCTGGGAACAACACTGAGCTCTGTCTAGGATGGGTGTAGGGAGCAGACAAGGGAGCTTGCCTCTTCAAAGCGGCTTTCTCAGCTAACATACTTCTTTCATTTTTTTTACAATGAAGAAACCATATCCCACCTTCAGTGTTATCACCTGTTGGTCAGTTAAAAGCTAGGGCAAGTAGAAAGGTCTTAAGGTAAAGGTAAAGGACCCCGGACAGTTATGTCCAGTCGAGAACGACTCTGGAGTTGCGGTGCTCATCTCGCTTTACTGGCCGAGGGAGCCGGCGTTTGTCCGCAGACAGTTTTTCCGAGTCATGTGGCCAGCAGGACTAAGCCGCTTCTGGCGAAACCAGAGCAGCACATGGAAATGCTGTTTACCTTCCCGCCGGAGCGGTACCTATTTATCTACTTGCACTTTGACGTGCTTTCGAACTGCTAGGTTGGCAGGAGCTGGGACTGAGCAACGGGAGCTCACTCCGTCGCAGGGATTTGAACTGCCGACCGTCTGATCGGCAAGCCCTAGGCTCAGTGGATTAGACCACAGCCAGCTTGGTGCAAAAGCTGCCAACAAATTGGCTGAGGGCACTCACAAAGCCTCCCTCCATTCATGGACCCCTTGGTCAAGAACTGGTGAGTGTGACTGCTTTTCTCTCCCATGGGAAGTACACAGAGCTGAAGGAGGAAGTTGGAAGAGTACCCCTCTTTCCCATTTCCTGTCTCAGCTCTATGTGCTTTTTAATACTACCAGACCTGGCTTTAACCCAGTTCACTCAGAAAAGTCAAACTTGTGTGTACATGTGCATGTACACATGCTCTCTCTTTCTCTGCAGGAGGGAGCTGATCCAGCAGAGAGGAGAGGAGAGAGCAGTTGTTATGTACTGAAGTTCTCACCCTGGGCCAGCAGGGGGATACTGTAGATAGTTTTCACTCAGGTCCACATATGCAAATAAGGAATTGAAAGTGACATTCAGTGATTGGATAGTTACAGAAAGTTGTTACTGTTGCTTTGTAGTTGAGCTCTATATAAGCAGGTTGGCTGAACCCTTCAGTTCAGTTCTGTTCTAGCCTGTGAATAAACAAGAGCTGTCTGAAGAATCGCTGTGTCGTCTGATATGTTCACCCACAACTTAACAGCAGTGTCCAGAATTCTCCCTCAAAAATCCAAATGTGCCAATGTGGACTTAAAACTGGTAGTGATCCCTGCCTGGAACCTATCAGACTAGGGACTTGGCTATACAGCTGCAAATATAACATTTTAAGAGTGTTTTAAGTACATTATTCAAACGTGACACTAGATGGCGATGGCGAGCTTATGGCAAATTCAACATATTTTTCAAAACGTTTTTTAAAACATTTTCGTGTGTTTTTTATATGGGTCTAGATTCTACCTAGGCTCTGGGGACACAGTGGCAATATTGGAGAGCAGCCTTTCCCACAATTTCCACCCGCCTAACTCCCAAAGTTGAGGGGCGGGCAGGGGGCAACCAAAGAAGGGCCTCCAACCATGGTACGGACAAGTGAGAAGGTGCTTCTGGAAGGAGACGGCCCTTTCATTGCCTACTTGAGTCTCGGCACCAGCAAATTCACACAGCCGAACTGTTGGGTTAGGGCGCTTGCTCACCCAACTGCTTTCATCATCGTTGGCAAGCCCATAGCCTCCAGCATTCCTCAAATGAAAATAAGAGCCGTTGCTCACTCCCCTACCCCTTCCCCAACCCTTCCGGGACCTCAATTTTTGTACTCCCACCACCACTGCAGAGCATTTCCAGTCAGAAGACCAGCGAGAGCAACCATCATTGCACCAATGGGACACAAGGGGTGGTGGTGGTCCTGAGCCAACTTTGTAGTTGACACACCAGGGACTGGGGGCAATACTTTGATCTGGGACAGGGGATGAAGTGGACTAGGTCAGGAGGGAGAAATATGATGGGGACACCCAGAATGCCAGCACGATGGCAGGTGTACTCCTGGAATTGTGCCTCAAAATCCTGCATACAGCTACAGGAACGGTTTTGGGACTGGGGTGGGAGTTTAGAATTTCTGACCACAACCAGAGAGGCCAAATCTGTGGGTTTGGCACAAAAATGGCTGTTTAACTTGCTTGAGCTGAGAACATTATGAAAGTGCCACAAGGAACTCCATGTAGCCTTGTGATTCACTAAAGATGAAGAACCCCGTGAAACCCCAAGGTGAAGGACCA